GTCCCCCCACTCGCACCCCGCCCTTTTCGCCTTCCCCGGCCATGCCTCCCCCTTCCCGCGCCGTCGGCGGCTCCCCCTACCTCTCCCCCACTGCGCGGCATGCCTGGCGGCAGTGACGGGCGCGCCCTCCCCGCGACCCCCTTCAGCTCGGCCATGATGACAGCCACCTGGCTGCGCAACGTCGTGGCGCCGCTCCCTGTGGACGCCCCCCCTCCCTGCTGGTCGTCTTCCGCAGCTGCGACCCCGACCCTGGCCCCGCCATCATTGCGCGCGCCGAGCGCGTCCTCACGAGCATCTTCCCAACGTCCGCCGGCAGCGGGGCCGACGCGGGCGAGGGCGGCGACGTGCTGTCGGTGGGTAGTGTGCTGGACGGGCAGTGGGCGCGCGTGCGGCGCGCGGAGAGCGGCAAGCTGTACTGGCGCGTGCTGGGGGCGATTCTGGCAGGCGAGGCGCGCGTGGGGCGCGGCGGCGCGGCGGGGGCGCTGTTGGGGCAGGACACGTTCCACCGGTGCCTGCTGGCGCTGTGCAGCGAGCTGGTGCTGGCCAGCCACAAGAGCACGCTCATGGCCTTCCCCGCGGTGCTCAAGCCGGCGCGCGTCACCGCGTTCGACCTGATCAAGGTCATCGAGGCGCTCGTGCGCGCGGAGGAGAGCCTGCCGCGCGAGCTCAAGCGCCACCTCAACAGCATTGAGGAGAAGATCCTGGAGAGCCTCGCCTGGGATAGGGTGAGCGCGCCGCAGGCTTCACACTACGATAGTGTGTGCCCGGGAAGCCTTTCCTGCCCTCAGCACTAAGTCAATGGTCAGGCACCCAGCTTTTTTCTCTCGGAGTATCCTGAAGCCGACCTGAGGTTCTCAGAGGATTCTGTGACCCTTGAATCGCACTTCCTGCAAGTTGCAACATCAAGGCTCTCCTCGTTTCTGGCTCTCAGATGCTACTCTTCTCTTGCTGTTTGCGCTGCCCCAACCGACATACTCCCCCTGCCTCCAGGGCTCGTCCATGTACACGTCGCTGTACACTCTGCGCAAGGCGCAGGCCACCCCCGAGGCGCAGGCGCAGGTCCTTGAGATGGAGCGCCTCCACCTTCTGCCCGGGGGGCCACCCCCCGACCCGACCCCATCTGGGGCCCCCGAGAGAGCAGCCAGAGAGGCGACCCCCCCGGCAAATGGAGCAGAGCCCAAGACCGTTGAGCCTGGTCCAAGAACAGCAGCGGCACCCGGCGAGCCCCAAAACGAAACAGGAGACAAGGCGGAGAAAGGGGCGGAGGCGGGCCCGGGGCCCGGGTCACAGGCCGCAGCGGCGGAGGTCGGCTTTCGAAAGTGGACGGGGGGGAACGGGGGCGGGAGTGGGGTGGGCCTCATGGGGAGCCCCCAGCGGACACGGGGGGCGGGGCCGGGAGCCGTCAAGCGGGCGGAGACGGTCATCGCCATGCTCACGCAAAAGGTGAGCAACCCCGGGCCGGCCCTCCGAAGTAGTAGCCAACCAAGATCAACGACGCGCGTTTCGAAGCGCAAGCAGGACCCGTGAAAGCTGAAAAGCCTCGTCCACTTCGCAGGCTGGCAAATACCAGATTGAGCTTGTTTCAGGGTCTTGATTTCATACCCATCAAGTCTAATACTTATAAGGATCCAATACCTACAAAAGACCACCCGGGAAGAAAACCAATTCAAACACCCTAACCAATAGACATGATGCGCTCTGCACCCGAACCCACCCTAAACACCATACCAGCCCCACCCGGTCCCCGGCCGGGTCTTATAGCTCTTAGACCCTTGCAGGTATTGAACTTTTTCCTATCTTGGTTCTTTGTGCACGTGGTTTAAGATATGTGTGCGGTGCGGCGCTGCGCAGGTGCTGAAGCTGCTGGCGATGCGGCTGCGCAGCCTGGGCGAGCGGCTGGGGCTGAAGCGCGGCGTGGGGGAGGCGGTGTACGCGCTGCTGCAGCACTGCCTCGCGGCGGAGACGCACCTCTTCTTCCTGCGCCACATCGACCAGCTGCTGCTCTGCGCCATCTACGGCGTCTGCAAGGTACGCGGGCGCCGCTGGAAAGAAGCCAATTCCAAACATTCAATCAATCTCGAAGGCTGCTGGCTTTACCTGCGCAGGTGGTCGAAAGGTCCCACTCGCTTGCAGATTATCTTGGAATTGGGTCTTCGTGAATCTGTCTTCGGACCCAAAGTTTTCAAAACCAGCTCCTTGGTCAAGGTGCAATCTAAAACGATGCACGATCCGATCGTAGTAGAGCTACCAGATGGCGCCCGGTCATTGAAACAGCAACGAAACGCCCGACCAATCTCGTGTACCCGTTGCTTGTAAGTCTGTGCATCCGTCCAAGACGTCTGATTTCGGCCGTACATTTGTTCTGGTGGCCCACGTGTTGTTCCCCACTCTGCGTTGTTCCGCCCGGCCGTGCCTCACGCCCCTTGCGCGCTGCAGGTGTGCAAGGTGGACGTGACGTTCAAGGACATCATCGCGTGCTACCGCAAGCAGCCGCAGTACCGCCCCGACACCATCCGCACCGTCGCGCTGAAGCACAACGTGCCGCTCCCCGACGCGAGCCCCTCCCCTCTGCTCTGTCGACCGCACCTACTTCTTTCAGCTGTCTCTTTGGCCGGCTTGCTGCGAGTGCCGTGTCTCAGAAGGCTTGGCTCTTGCTTTGCCCATGCCCACAATCACCCGTTGGCTTAAGCGGTGCCCGCTTCTGATTTCATGCTGGTACGTACAGGCGGGCACGCCCCCCCGGCCGGACACCGGTGACGTCATCAAGCTGTACAACCAGGTGTTTGTGCCACGTGTCAAGGCCGCCTTGCTGCGCGTGGCGCAGGAAACGGTCCCGCAACCAGAAGCCGCTCCAGTCGAGCCCGCGGGTAAGGAAGCGGCGGGCTTCATTGGGCTACCCTGCGCCCGCTTTGGCTTGTCCCGCGGCTTTGGTATTCTGCTAATGCGCGTGCTTCAAAGCAGGCTCTTATTTTGGGGGTGAGTATGTCCTGTGGCTCTCATCCCCGCTCCGTCCCCCTGTCCTGCGCAGGGACCGCCGCCCCTGGCTCGCCGCCCCGTGCGCCCCCTGCCTCTGCGCCTCTGCCCGGGTCCCCCTTCGCCAACCTTCCCGCTGCGGCTTTCTCCCCCAAGAAGGTCGCCAGCGGTATCTATGTGTCGCCACTCAAAGGCCACCGGGTGAGCCGCATCAACGCTCCCACGCCGCGCTCATGCTGACCGCGAACACCTGCGGCCGCGGCCTTGTGGGATTGGTGCCCCGCCCCGCTGTTCCAAATCTGATTGCGAACAGCCTACCTTCTTTCGTCCTAAACTCAAGCTTGAGCCGCCGCCGGCCGCTCCGCATTCGCGACATCAGCTTTGCTCCAGCCTTGTGTTGTCAAGCCTCTCGTCGTGTGTGCCGCGCTGACTGTCGTTCCCCGCGTATGCAGGCGGGGCAGTACTTGGCGGCGACCCCGCGCAGTGCGGTGCTGGTGCTGGGCCAGTCCGACGACTACCAGAGCCCCTCACAGGCGCTCGCACGCCTCAGCGACCAGGTCAACGCCGCCAAGTGAGCACGCGCGCACACCCCCCTTGGCGCATGCAGTCGCGGCTGACACACCGTTTCCTACTTGGTTCAGACATCTCACAAGAAGGAAATAGATCATCGTGACTTCAACCGCGCTCACTCTTCCAGGCCTGTTCTACCCAGCCTGTTGGTTGGCCTCTGAATCACTCATTTTGACGCTGCAATGTTCACTTGATCGACTGCTTGGAAGCGAATCACTTCAGGTTGCGAACTGGCCTCCGCGAACCCCCATTACGGATGCCGCCAAATGACTTTTGAAACGGCTCCTGGATTAGAGCTATGTGACTGAGGGCCCCTCTGGTAGCACGTTTGCTCACGCCGCTCTTGTGTGCAGGCCGATGCGGCGACTGGGTCAGCTCAACTTCGACGAGGGGGCCGGTCCAGCCGCCAACGGGGGTGGCGGCAGCCAGAAAGCGCCCCCCCTGCCGCGGCGGCCATCAGCGGACAGCGGGCGCGAGGACGCGTCCGGGTGGTCCTCGGGGACGTCCAACGGCTCCCCCGCGCGGCCGCCAAAACGACACAAGGCCGTGTAGCGGACAGCACCAGGTAGACGGATACAAAAAGGAGCCTATATGGAGGAGGAAATGGGGGGGAGGTGTGTCAGAAAGGGCGAGCAGCAATTGCAGTGACACGTTGCTGCCACTCACCATATACTGAGGCCCATGCCATGGTTGGGGAGACAAACTCAAGTTTCCACAGTTTAGAACCTGTATACAGCCACTGCCAGTAGCCCACGTTAGGACAGGTTTGTAGAGCATGCCACCCGAACAGACACCGTGGGCCTGCACACTGGTACCTTGCTGAAGATGGCTTACTGACATAGCTCGACAAGCAGTGGCTGAAGCCTGGCAATGCTAAACTTGTGGTTGGTCTGTTTGATGTGCATCCAAGACTTGTTTCGTCGTTCTGTGCACATGCTCAAAAGTAAAGCTGTAAAACCTATACCGTCATGCAGCTGACCCAAGTGCAGAATCAAGAACTCATGCGGTACCCAATGCTCCTGGACTGTCTCAGTATATATATACTGCACATGCACCATCTAGCCCGAACTCCGCCGCGATTTGCGCATGGTCACTCCAGCATGCTAGCTTATTTTAATGCATTTGTTTGTACTGCAGACGCAGGCTTATGAATCGAAGGCCACGCGCCAAACGTGGGTCTTCGCGGCGGCGCATGATGGTGCAATAGTGCGGTGTTTGACGGTAATCCTGAGTTGCACACTGGGCGCCATGAATTTGAATTGTCTCTCTCATGAGAGACATCGATTTCGGTTTCTGCCGTATACAGATTACCACTGTCCGATCATGCAGCTTTTTGCATGATGTGCGTTTCCCAGATTGGCTATCAAGAACTGGGTTGTGAGACCACGTCAGGAACCGATCAGCTAGATACGCTCTGACGGACCTTTCATGCAGAGTCTTGATGAGATCAATCAGCTCATGCATACCAAATTCAATAAACCTTTCGCGTCTGAACGATCTGATGGAGCTCGCTACCAGCGCGTTCACTGACCCGGACATGCACAAACAGTGACGTTACAGCTTTCTATACGTCAAGCCGTTGAACAACTTTCTTAAGACCAGTTGTTCAACGGCACGAGGGAGCTATATCAAGTTTGGCATGATAGCGCGGGCATGGCACGCACCCTGGATGTGATAACGCGCCATGAAAGCTTTGCTTACAGGCAGTAGTATTAAGGAACTGGTCCCACGCAACACCTGCACCGATAGTATGCATGGTGGACATAACAGACATCGGGAAATGTGACCAAAATGAAATGAGTGAAACGCCGTTCCGGCAATTGTGCAAGCGCCTTCACAACCCACCTCACGAGAGCTCCCTTGTCCAAACTTGCTTGGTTGCGAAGCTGTCACGCTCATTCCAGTCAACCGCTCCTGCTGCTATCTTATCTGCTCTGCTAAGCTAGTCCCAAGACAAAACGCTACAGTGCTTCCCCCCGGCTTGCAAAATGCTGCCCTGTCCTAGTTCAAGGGGGGCGCTGACGCTGGCGCTGCACCCCTGTTCGGTGGCGGCCCTCGCCCACCCCGTCCCCCGCGCCCGCCCCGGTTGCTCTGCGGCCCGTTCCCGTACGAATTGTCGTAGAAGCCCTGCCCGCCCCCACCTCGAGGTCCGCCCCGACCGCCGCGCCGCCCGCCTCGGTCCCCTCCTCCTCCGTTGCGGTTGCCGTAGTACCCGCGACCGCCACCCCGAGGCTGGTACCCGCCGCGGACAGGGCCACCTCCGGGAGCTGGAGCGCTCTGCTCCGCAAACACCTGGGTAAGTACAGAGGGGAGCATACGGATTCAGAGGAGTCGTCAAAGAAAAAACGACGATAAAACCGCCGAGCTCCGAAGCCCTCATCATACATTGAAGCAGCACAGCCTCCCCTGCTTGCTGGGGGGTTGCGCGAAGCCCTTAACTACACAAAGTACTTCTGTAGGAAATGCTCCGTCTGGTTTTTGGGGGGATAAAGGAGCAAAGCCCTGTAAGCCCACATGCTGACGACGAGGGCCAGAGAGGTGCCTGACCTGCTGCTGGTGCTGCTGCTCCGGGGGGGCAAACTCGGGCGCTGCGTTGCCGGTGTCGGCGTCATGAGCCACCTCCTGAGGGGCCTCCGGGAAACCGGTCGGCTCCGGCTGCTCGGGGGGAAAGAAATGTGCGGGGGGGGCGGACTCCTACACCAAACACAGTCAAGGCGAAGGAATCAGGGGAAAGGGTGCTGACACTAGAAGCAGGCAGCATGAAGGTGGGGGCAAGATAATCATCCGTCTGGCACCACCCATCCTTGCGGTCTTCGAGTGCGGTACTTCTTCTCTTCCTCCTGCTCTTTAGGACTACCCGCGTGTAAGCAGCAGGCCAGCCGACTCTTCCAGTCTTTCAGCAAAGACAAACTCTTAGTGAGCTCTGAAATCTTCCGAGAGACCCATGTCCAGCATGGGCCGAGCAATCCTGCAACAGCAAATCTGCGCATTGGAGCTGTCCACTGTGTCCCGCTTGCACTGAGGCAGAACTGCTAGCTGCTGTAAACCTTGAAGTGTCAAGCGCCCCGGAATCAACATCTGTGTACCATAATTGGAGAGTATGTCCAACGCAATCTCACCATGTGGCAGCTCTTGCTAACACCACTCCCATGTGCTTTTGGTGCATCTCTTTTGCAATTCGCTGCACCCACATTCTCAGGCCTCCGCTCGCGACAATCTACAAGAATCCCAGCCATGCAATCATTCGCCCCTGCCATCGCCGTACCCCGCCGACCAGGCGGGTGAGAATGCGCACCTGCTGTGACTCTCCTGAGCTGACTTCCTGCGGGGGCTGCGCCTCGGTGGCCTCTGCGCCGACCTCAGCGCTGGAATTGAGCGTCTGCAGCTCCGGGGGAGTGGTGAAGTAGTCCGACTGCAGGATGCGCCCCAAGCGCTCCTTCAAGTCCGCATCTGCAGTGCAGGGGAGAGGCAAAGCAATCAGCGCAGAATTATGCAATGGCAAACAAGCTGGATAATGCAGAGCAATGAGACTTCATGTATCAGATCTTGCATTGAAGTGCTGGCCTCAATTGCCACAATTCATCAGCAGACCTTGCTGAGTATGCAACCGAACCATTATCAACTATCTCCCACGATTCAAACAGACCATTACCATGAGGGGTCTCGAATTTCCTCAATTGTCAACCAACTACAGGTGTCGACTGATGTGAACCAGCTGGAAAGCACCAACGAGGGAGTGCTCACACGTGATGGAGTCTGCCCCGATGGGCTCACTCTGGCCGGCGAGCCAGCTGACCGCGGTGTCGATGCACATGCGCAGCGCCGCCTGGTGCGACACATTCTGCGTGCGCGAGGTGAGCAGCTTGCCCAGCTGCGCGATGGCGTCCAGGTCCTCCTCATCCAGGCTGCTCTCATTGTAGTCGTAGCTCAGGCACGCCTGCCGCTCGCGCACGCGCATGAACGTCAGCATGCTCGACTCCTGCTGGCTGCGAACGTCAAACAGCTGCGCAAAGTAGAGCAGCTTCAGAATCTCCTCCACCTCGTTCTCCGCCGCCTTGGCTGCCTCTGCGCTCTCGGCCTTCTCCCTCTCGTCCGCTAGCTTCTCTTCCGCTGCCTTTGCTGCCGCTTGCGCTTCAGAAACCTCCTTGGCCCGTGCACCAACCTCCTCCTTGAGTGCGTCCGTGAGCGGCTTCTGCAACTTCTCGTATTCGTCAATCAGCACCTCCACAGCTGCCTTGCTGGCCAGCAGCTCCTGCTGGTCCTTGTTCAGGCTCTTGCCCTCCGCCTGTGACGCCTCAACCCCCTGAATGCGCACCAGCTTCTTCCGCAAGTTGCGCAGCCGCTTGTTCATCAGGGCCACCACCGGGCTGGTGCTGTCATTACTGCCCTTAGTCGAGAACCCGGCTTCCTCCGGAGCAGCGGCGGGGGCGGCGGTGCCGGCCATGACTGCCTCCGACCCACGTCTGCACACAACCTGCCGACAGCACGAGCGCCACGACCAACTGCTGCCTCCACCACAATGCGCCTGGAGAACTTCAACGGGTTCCTCAACAGCTTCCGAGACTTCGCTGCTCAGGATCCACCCGTTGTGACCTGGTGTGGGCCATCGCTGTCAGTGTTTAACCGTCTTGGTTTGTAGGCAGACATCGTACCATACCTAAGACTCGAAGAAGCCGATGGGTTTTGTTGTTTGGTTAACGTATTAACACAATTGCAATCCGCAGAGCTTTCAAATTCAAATGTTCATGGCCATGTGCAGGCTGCAGCAGCACAGCCACCACGATTATCAACCCCACGACTTTCTGTTGTCACAGTTGTGCCGCTTGCTACCCCACCACAACTTTCACAAGGTAGATGCTGGGAGACTCCGTTGGCAGACGGGCTGCCAAGGCATGGGCCCCACACATAGACGAAAGACAGGAGAGCCAACACTTTGAAGGGTAGGGCTGGTTCTGAAGAAAGACGTTTGATCTAAGCGGATACTTGTGCGCAATTGGCGCCTCACGATGGATGCCTTGCTTAAAGAAACCCGGGACCGCAAGCGACAGCGCAGCAGGGCCTCCCACGCTGAAGCGGAAGGGCAGGTGGAGAGCAGCCTGACGCACCTGCTGCAGGGGGAGAACTCTGGGACGGTGGAAGCGGCGCTGCGAGCTATGGAAGCAAAGGCGGGTGGGGGCAATGAGGCGCTGTACCGGGGGCTGCTGGCACTGGGGGCGCAGCTGCAGGACTTTGGCAACACATTGGCGCGCCAGCACGCAGCGGATCTCAATGCTGGGGTGTGGCCTTTTACGCAGGTGCGAGGCCAACTTGAGAGAGGAAACAAGGGGACAACTGAAATTCAGGTTCTCTGCCCCTTCGGCATGGGCTTGCAAAGGGGCCTCACAATTGCGATGAGTGACGGGGGCCACACTCCACCCAAGTGCTGAGTGTGCCGGTGTAGACAACAGCCTCATAAAGATTGATGTGTTCCCAGAACGAACTTAGTTTTAGTACTTTTGTACATGTGCCCTAATTGGGCCATGTATGGGTGGCGTGCCCCATATTTCCATCAATTGTACCTTCATGTTGCCAATTGCTCAAGCCTGACTGCCCAGTGAATCCAGAAATAAATGAATTGGAAATAGATTCAGATTCCATATGGCAAAGGAATGACGCCCACGAACTCTTCCCTGGGCTGCCTCTGTTGCAGGACCTGAGTGTCAAGATCTTCTCCCACATGAGTGCCCACGACCGTGCCCATGCTGCGGCTGTCTGCACCTTCTTCGCCAGGACAGCAGCAGACCCCGCCTGCTATGAGGTAGCCAAACCCACTCAACTCCACCTTGCACCAACCATGAGGTCATCGTAGCCCATGTATTAGTGATTGAAGACTTGAACATGCATGAGAAGATGGTGCAAATCAGGGTGTTTGTCAACCAAGGTCTGTTGCCATGTCTATCAAGCTGAAAGGTATTTCTCATCAATTAAGGTTGCAGCAGTTGTAGGGCCCGCCAAAGTATCATCTAATCAGGCTGGAAAGTTGTTCGCAACTGCCCAGCTTCTCCTTCCGTCCTTTCTGGTCGATTTTGCCGCACTGCCAAGGTATCTCACTCCAAAGATAAACATTCTGGGGTCGATGTGAAATGTGGAAATCAAATGGGTACTTAAATTGCATGGAAAGAGCGCCACACTGCTGAATGTTAAATTCCAATCAGTGTGAAAATGAGCTTTTTTTTCCGGGTCGCCAAAGGTGGAACCTCAGATTGTCTGAAAACCCTTTTCGCAAGAAATGGTGGAAGTTTCACTTGGCGGAACAGTAGGTGATTCCTCGACTCCCTTCCTCCAGGTGTTGGACCTGGTCCCCCGCGGGCTGCACGTGACATCAGCCACCGTCATCAAACTTGTGCGCAGGGCCGGCCACTTCCTGCGGTAAGCTTTCCTTTTAGAAACAGATCGTGATTGCCCTGAGCGACTCTTTCAAAAAGAAGTCCTGCAACAGCTGTCGTATTGTCAACCAGGACTTTGAAAGGTTTGTTACACTCGAGCGTGAACAGGGTCCGATCGAGACGACCCGAGCCCGATCAGGCTTGGGCAAATGCCCTGTTGCTTACATTGCCCGAATTTGGCAGCTGCCGGAGGCCCCGTTTTTGGTCGGGGGCGCGGGCAAATATCGGGTCGAGTCGTAATGTGCCCGACCCGAGGGGCATCGAGTTGTGGGCAACCCGATCAAAATTTCTTACAGGCTGAGGTCAGCCGGAGGTCTGGCTGATGGGTCTCGGGCCGTTTTCCAATCGCGATTTCCTTAGTGTAACAACCCTATGAGGGCAACTTGCCAGCGCCTCCGTGGTTGTACCACTTCTCCCAGGGCCTTATTTGAATTGGACAAAGGAATCAGGCAGAAACCTCGCACTAACCGGTTTTGTCTTGAAATCGATCTCCGTGCTCATCAATGATGTTCATCTCCTGTGTGTTTCGTGTGCGCAGGGTTCTCAAGCTGGGGGTCCTTCCCAAGCCCCCCTTGCCTGCCGCGCACTCCCCCTCGTCCCGCACAGCCCGCCGACGCTCTTCGCTAGCCACCTCCGCCAGTCCCGGCAGCAGCAGCCCCCTCGTGCGGCCGGCGTGGGTGCCCGAGTACACCGACAAGACTCTGCCGCTGTCGCGGCTGATGCAGGGCAAGGAGAAGGGCCGCCTCTGCCCGCTCGGCAGGCACTCCTTGCACGTGCTCAGCCCAGCGCAGAGTGCAGCGGGGTGAGCACACGGGTGCATCTGTCTACTCGAACAACTCACGTGCCTTTGCATTAAGCTGCCGTTTGTTGAAGTTCTTTGTCAGAAGTGGACAGCAAGCCCAGGATCATTCTCCCCACTTGCGCATTTGGTCTGATCCCCCTTGCCGGCTCCACCGTCATGTGTTGCGCTGCAGTTGTGTCGAGTTTGACACTTTATCCCTGCGCTTGCGGTGCAGTGCCAACCTGCACGCCCTGCACCTGTACAACGTAGTGGAACTTGACGGGCGTGCCGTTACGGCCGCGCTCGCGTCGTGCCCCCGCCTGCACGACCTCGAGGTCATTGGCCTGTGAGCAACATTCGCACACCGCTCGGTTTCAAAACGACCTTCTTCTATTCAGGCTCGGCCTCTGTGGAAGGGCACACGTGTTCACAGACAAGCCCATGTGCGCCTCCGATGGCTTGGTTTATGCCTTGGGCGTGGATGCTAATGGTCGCGCAAGTTTGAGGTTCAGTCGTTGTCATACTCCAGCTTGTTATACTTTCGTTGGATCGTTCCTCGTTCGCCCTGCCCAGTTCAAGGCCTCTTAGCAGGAGGAACCCGAATTGCTGACAAGATCTCCGTGAAATTCATCGGGTTGTTACACTAGGGGTCTTTACACACAGAGCGGGTGAACTTGGTTTTGAGCGACGGTACTGCAGGGGTTGCGGTGCTCTTGTCGCCAAGAAAACACCGCGGGTGAACTCAGGTGAACTTTTCAATTCGCCGGCAAGTACGGCCTGACGTCAGTTTTTTCACCGCGGTGTTCCGAATTGCTACCCCAAGAAAAGCCTGGTGACGATGGTAATTTTTTTGGACCGTCGCGTGGGACTACCTTTACTTGCGGAAGCTACCCCCCGGAGTGTCAAAGTAAACTTTCGCAAAACAGCACCTTCGGTTCTCGGCGAATTCACCAAAAGTTCACCCGCTCTGTGTGTATAGACCCTAGGAGCGTGAACAGGGTCCGCCCGATTCGGCCCGAGCCCGATCAGGCTCCGGCAAATGCCCTATCAATCAGGCTGCCCAATCTTAGCAGCTGCCGGAGGTGCCGAATGCGGTCGGGGTCTCGGGCAAATGTCGGGTCGGGTCGCAACGTGCCCGACGCGAGGGCCTCAGGTTCCGTGCAACCTGGTCGAGATTCCTTACAGCCTGAGGTCAGCCTGAGGTCTGGCTGATGCGTCTCGGGCCGAATTCCCAAACGTAAGCTTTCAAGTGTAAGAATCCTATCAGTCGCACATTGCAAGGCTTCTCACGAACGACAGGATCGCTATGGTGCAGCCAGGTGGCCCCCGCGTGCATGCTGGAGGCGGTGGCGGAGCACTGCCCCTTGCTCGTCCGCTTCTGCTGCCAGCCGCGCAAGCGCACCAGCCTCTTCGACGTCTGGGACCAGGACCCAGGTCAGCCGCCCTGCGGGCCACACGCTGCCGACACAACTGCTCGCTGTCGGTCGCTGCCAGTTTCAGCTTCCTGTTTCGAAGGGCCACAATAGAAGACCAACGATCTTCGAATGGCCGTCCTCCGAAGACCTGTCGTGTGCTTAAATGACGTACGGAGACATCAATAAGACGTTATTCTGCCGTTTGCTTTGACAAAGAAAGGCCGGACTAGAAGTGACGTCCAGGGCCGAATGTCGCTCACGAGTCCATACCTCATATGTACAGCTTTCCATCAGCACTCCGTACAAAACTTGATGAGAATCTGCGTAAGTATCTCTCGGTGAACATTGCGTCGTCTCCTTCTCGCAGCCCGCCGATCGACGCTGCGCAGCACGCTGTGCGAGCGTGTGGCTGCGCGCTGCCCCAGTCTGGCGTCCCTCACGCTGCGCAGCTGCATCGTGCAGGACAGGAAGGTCGCCATCTTCCTCAAGGTACCACCTCGCACTCCCCCTGTAACATTCTATACAGTCACTACCTGGAATTGTACCAGGCATTCTACGTTCAGTCGTACCGACGCTGGAGGGTCAAGGACGATGAGGACTCTCAATGCTCCCGGCGCTCAAACCTTTCCCACTTCTTAGTTCATTGCCGCACAACGACTCGGTTCCTGGTTTGGCGTCCGAGCCTCGCTTGTTCAGTCGCGTGTGCTCACGCCCCCTTCCCTGCCCGCCCGCAGAAGCTGCCCCTGCAGTACGTGGACCTGTGCGGCGCGCAGTACCTCAACGGCTCGTTCCTCAAGTACGCCGCTCCGCCCTCGCAAGCTCTCCCCGCCAGCCTTCTCTTGTGCGAAAGCTCTTCGTGTGCGCACTGGCCCCGTCTGTGTAATGAGACTCGACTTGCGACATGTTGTGTGTATCTCAAGCCGCTTTGTCTGCTTAGAATGCGTTCCGCTGCTTACGTACTGCCTGCTGACTGTTGTAGGGACCTGGCCGCGCTGCGTGACTGCCGCCTCGAGCATCTCCTGCTGCGCGACTGCATGCGGCTGAGAGAGGTGACGAGTCACGCTACCCTTGTTGAGGCCCTGCCTTGCATGCTGATTCGGCACTTCGTTGTCAGGACTTCTCTTCCCAGGCTTGCCTTTTCCATGCTTTCCATACTTTGGCGGGCCCTTCTTGGAAAGCATGACCGAAACTTGACGAGGAAAGGGCCCTGGAGAAGATCAGGGTAAAGGGATCGATGCTTCTGGAGTACAAATGACCACGTCCTTTCTTTATGAACGCTAGCTGGCGATTTGGCAGTCGGGCCGGCTTCCGCTGTGTCTGGAAGCTTTCATGGAATCTACCCGCAAGAAATGCGAGTACTGAGCGTGGGAACGGTTTCGAAACAAGGGATGACATTGCAAAAGTCATTTCGTGGTCAATCTGAGGTTAGTCGTTGGCCTGGATCTGTGTTGCTTCGGCTCACAATTTGTGTGCGTGCAGGACTGCGTGGAGGCGTTCCTGCAGGCCCTGCTGTCGGACGAGTGCAAGTCGCTGCGCTCGCTCGATGTCTCCAGTAAAAGTGAGCCGCCGCCGGCCCTCTCGCTCGCCCCATGATTTGCGGGACTTGGCGACACTCGGGATTCCGCCCGCTCTTCAATCCGCAATTGGACTTGCTTAGCTCTCGTAGCTCCAGACGCCTCCGTCTCTTCTTTGTGATAACCTAGGTCGATTACTCAGTTCTTGCCGCGTGACGGTCTGCTGATGGTCTGTCAATGCGTGCAGACGGGTTGGCCTCGGGGGAGTGGTTCGCCCGTCACAAGAGCGGCCGCGTCGCGGATGCGGTGGCGCGCCTCCCCCAGCAGCGGCCCGGCTGCTGGCTCACCGCCGACTTCCCGGACGTCAGGTCAGGGCCATTCCGGTTGCGCTGCACGAACCCGTGCATTTGTCAGCCGTTGCGCATTGAGTTGTTATTGACGCTGTGACGTCTGCGGCGCATTTGCGTTGAGCATAACATTTCGTATTTGACTAGTATTCGTCGTCCTAAGAAGCCAGAATCTGGTGGCGCAGCTTGGCTAGTAAGGTCTTTGTGGTAAGGCTCAATTGGAGGCCGGTTTGGGTTGACCAACCCGGAGCTTTGTGCAAAATTGCTTGGTGGCGGATGAACCTCAAAGAGGGGCCCGCGTCCTGTGTGGCTCTGCTTCATACCTGGCTGTGAACATTGACCGACGTCTTCCCCTCACAACTTCATTCTGGTTAGAGTCAGCTTGAAGGAACTCGTGCAGGACGTAGGAATCTGCTGTACCTAGCAAGTGTGACACGCTATCCGCCTTCGTGTGCAGCGATAGCGGGAGCGACGAGAGTGACGATGCCAGCGAGGACTCGGATGAGAACGTGGGCTCGGAGGTGGGCAGCACCGACGAGGAGAGTGACGCGGAAGATGATGACGACAACGATGATGACGACGACGATGATGACGATGACCTGGACGAGGATGACGACAGCGACGAGGATGATGACGACGACGAGGACGACTCATCCGGCGATGATGACGAGGATGATAATGAGGCAAGGGGCAGGCAGGCCCTGGAGCGGGCGCAACTACTGCTACGGGCGGCCCAAGAACGGCTGCAGTCAGTGGCGAACAGCAGAAGGTTCGGTGGAGACGACTAGGGTTAGTGAGTAGGGCGGGGATTGAGCCCCTGTACAATAGGCAGACTGCCCGCCACGGGGCATTGGGCAGTAGGATACGAAGTGGGCCACAGTGCGTCTCGGACGGGGGGACATGAAGGAGTCTGCCCTGCCTCATGTCAGAGACACCGTTGGATTTTCGTTGATTCAGCGAAGCCGCTACGCTTTTGTAACATGGTTTCACGTCCTGGCTGAGACTGTTGGGGCCACTTCTACATGCATCGCCGCGGCATTGGCCGGCTATTATGGAGCTTGTTGAGTCGAGTGCTGGCACTTCAGTATTTCACGAGGTATCATGCAAGAGGATCCCTTGATCATTGATGCCGTTTGGCGACAATCTGCTATGCACATACGCCGACTTCTAGGGGCGGCGCGCAGCATGGGAGGGCAATTATTGGTACCAGAGAATAGGCACCGTCAGCGCGGTACACCATTCAGAGATGTGTGCCGCTACTCGGCTACGGTGCGCAGGAGGGCGGTCTTTTCATGCCCTAGAGAGTTTCGCGCTGCATGAGCTAGGACGGGGGCTAAGGAAAGAGCCATGGTGATAACAACGTCGTACCCCCGTTACTTACTAATACGCTTATTCTACTTAAGGTTGCGCGTCGACCGTCCGCAAAAACCTACTTGCTTCCAGTGTTGCCTTTGTAGTACCGACAAGTAGGAGGTACGGTACTTTCCAAGCCGTATTCCTTCTATGGTACACATGTTCGAATGTACCTTAGGCTACCACGTGGATCTGAAAAGCCATCCGATTGGCTATAAAAGATCTGGAAAGCTTTTCGGTCGACGCGCGCCCTAAGTAGCCTTAATCTTATGGTTCATGAACGGGGCATTTGATTGTAGAAATGTTGATGCCTGTCTAGTCAATACCTAATGCCCTGAGTCCCCGCCCCGGCGGTTGTATATTTGCTGGCCCGACTGCGAAGCTGCAAGGTCGATCATCGATGGACGTGTAGTTAAGAGCTCACGTCTCTTTCAAACTAGTACGGCCTTGCATCCATGATTGTCATGCTAAATTGACGTGTATAGAACCACCACTCATGCTTTTCGAACTGACACTGAAATCTGGTGAAAGCGTTTGACTTGGATCATGGTGATCGACAAGTCTCAACCGCTTGATGCAGAAGGCTAGGACACCAAGTTTGCAGCATGTCTTGATCACAGCTGCGTAAGTTCCCAATATTTCGATGACAGATTCACTGCCACGCACCCTTGAACACTCCCAACCCGATCCAAACCAGTGCCTCCCGACATGTTCGCTCACAAGTGAACCTCTTTCACAAACGATGTCCTAGGAGGAACGGTGCAATACGATTGCCCACCTTCCACCTCGATCTTGTAGTCCAGAGCCCAGCTGATCAGATGCTGGCCGTCGCAAATTGTCACTTCTCCCCCGTCGATCCCATACAGCTTCACCTCCTTCGAATTGAGAAGAACATTACCATCCGGGTCCACAAATTCGAGCACCGCCAAATCCGAGCTGCCGTCGGATCTTCTGATTCGACCCCGCAGCTGGTCAGACAAGGGAAGAAAGACTGTGGCTGCTGTACCAAATTCGAGAACTGCACCTGCACGACTTGAAGTTGACGGAAAAGTTGAACAGATCAATTTTTTCATCGACGGTGTACTAGCTCAACCAATCTGAAACGATCGTTGCGCTTCAACGTTGCTTTGGCTCAGACCGACTACCGTGCCATTGGCCAAGCGTAGTACAACAGAAGAGGTTCAAACCGCGACTGAAGTTTCTCTAGTTGGGCCTGGAGGTGAACCAGATCATCGGCTTTTGCTTGGCAGACTAAGTCTGCCACTTCATGCGATGTGTGCATGTTTCATGTTCACTGCGCTTCGAAGCCCTACGTTTTTCAATTGACACTCAGAGTAGCATTGCTAGTAGTCCCTCCAGTTCACGCACTAAGCAATTTTGGGATGCTGATCAAGTCTGCAGTTCGCTCACCCTGAAAGTCGTTGCCACCAGCAGCGCCCCTCCCTTCCCCCGCTGCAGCCCCTTGTGCAGGCCCGTGACTGGTTGGCTGAGTCTGCAGAGTACAGTTGCTGATTTTCTTAAGAGCAGGAGGATTAAAAGACGTCTGCTTTGAGGGCTGATATGAATCTGATATGAACTGCTCCTGTAAGAAAAAGGTAAGTGTTTGCTAATCTTGTGCAACTCTGACACCGGTAGGTTTTTAACGACTTCCTCTCAGGCTGCTGGCGAGAAAGCAGGAGGGCCAATTTCTATGACTGTGATTCATGACTTCAAGATGAGCAATAAGGTCACCAGATGATGCAGTGGGGATGCAGTGTTTGCCTTCCACAAGGCTTGCAATCGAGCAACAAGGACAGCAGAGCACTTGAAGCTTAGCCGCATAGATGCTGGGCTTTTTTTGGACAGCATGGTGATGGGCTGATGCAGACGAAGTGAGCATTCGCGCAACTGAATCGCGAGTATCATAGCATACAATTGTCACGGCCCATAATAAGTTCGTAACAAGCCACATATTCCATTCCTTTGAAAAGAAGCAGTTGGAACAGTCACCATGGACTCTCTGCCTTCGAAGCAACGCACACAAACATGGCAACATGGCCTCCTTTAGGACTATAGCCGCGATACTCCATCAACGGACTCTCAACTGGGTTCCACGTCAGCTCTCCCAGTCAGAAAGTCGCCTTGAACGATTGTACGCGTCTTCAGGAGCAGAGGTAGGAGCAAAGGTACCAAAATCGTCACAACCAGAAAGTACACAACGGCTCGGGAAGATATGGAAAAATCCAAGCGAGGGGATAACGTTTTCGGAGTGGAAAGAAATCTGCAATACTTAGCATAGTATTAATGAGGCTCCTGCCGGGTTTGTCAATGTGTCCTTCAAACATCTAAATACTTTCGTTTTGGTGACAGTCTTGGGAACGATGGTCAGGGAAGAACTTGCCGGGCTCTGATGGCTTATTGCGCTCAAGCGCACCTCCACTCAGCGTCCCAGAATATTGGTCACCACGCGGCCCAGGCCCGGCCCAGGGATCATGGTCGCCTCCGACCTGTTGCCCTCGCCAAGTCACCAGTAGATTAGCTGTGAATCAAAGATTGCTCCCATGTCGGAACACCACGTTCCCGATATAGCCGCTGATGTCAGGGGCAAAGAAAGATCACCGTGCATGAACCAGATGAACGAGAGTACAGTGTGGCCCGGTTGGCGCCGCGCGCGAGCTAGGTGCCCGCGGCCGGGCCATTGGGCGAACTTCGCATGCTAAGGGTTTAAAGGGTTTGAGTTACGGATCCGATCGGAGTGCATGAGTGGAGGCCCGCGCACGTACGCGCGCCGTTGCAGGTAAGGCAAAAAGGTCATGCATGCTCTGCCATCGAATTGGAATGCAAGGTCGTTGGGAGGAGGCCCGAATGGCGACAAGCACGCTTGGCAGAACCCCTTCAAACTTGCTTCCCTGCCAAGCAAGCTCGCATTGCTCTCAGGAGCAGGCAGCTGGGATCCATGTAAGGTCCTGGATTGGTCGGCGCCATGACAAAACCGCTTGGACAGCGGCGCCGGGCCGGAGTTTGTTGCATCGCAGATTACACAGACGGCAGCTGGGCTTAAAGAAAAGGGATCAGCAGAAGGTGCAGGCGTTGCACAACGAGGGGGAACCGAGCTGGGGTCACAGCTTTGGGGCTTCAGACGGCTATGGCCCTTATCCCTGGGAGCAGAATGGTAGCGGAGGGGAGGAGTCTGAACCAGGTGAGCAGATGGCCTGCATGCAGTCGGGGAGAGAATCTCTGCGATCTGATGCTGAGATGCTGACCAATGCAGCACAGAACCTGACGGTGATTATTTCAATCAAATGTGCGCAGCTTGAGCAGCTTGGCAAGTTTGCCAAGTCCAAAATCTGACCCTGTCCTGTCAAACATACACTATTCTAAGTCTGCAACCTCGCCGTGCCACCTGCTTGGCCACAACTGCCGGTGTTTCAGGCTGGCCAGTCAACGTGTGTCATTTGTAATAGTGCGCTGTGTTTTGTCAGTGTCACAGCTGTTGTCCAACTTTTTCCAGATTGTCGTTCATCTTCCTCCAGGTGAAGACTGGGTGCGCGAGCCCATCATCACCCTGCTGACCTCCCAGGGGGTGGTTCAGCTAGGGGGGGAGCGCGTGCCAGCGAGGCGGGCAGAAGCGTGGCAGCGGCGGCAGAGCGGGCAGCTCGGCCGGCTGCGCCCGTTTCGGGAGGAGTCGTACATGGACCCCCACCAGCAGCTGTGCCTGGGGGCCACGTTCGACATTCATGCCACCAACGTGAGCGCCCTCCTGCTCTAACAATTGGAAATCCGAGGTCCAGCCTCAATCTAGCAAAGTTGGCCGCCACTTGTATTTCCCTGGTTCTTTGCCAATTAAGGGCTTCCTTTCTGGCAAGCGCTCTTGTCAGATGGCAGCTGAACATCCACGTATGCCCTTGCAAAGCGATGATGTCATCCTCAAAGCAGCCTTGTTCAAGAAATGCATATTGGATAAAGGCTCCTGTGCATATTGTCGGGTTTGTAGGGGGTTCAAGACAGGCTGTAGTATGGAGCTGTTTTCGAGTTTCTCTATTGACCTGTGACTACTACGCAGCGCGGCACTGTGTGTGCAGGGGCTGGACCTAGGGCGGCGCCTGACCGTGCTTGGTTTCTGCCGCTCGGTGGCCATGCTGAGTGACGTGGTGGAGGACTGCGTGGTGGACCAGGGGGGGCAGGCAAGCACAACCGAGGGCATGTCTCCTTCACATCTAATCCAAAGTCCAAATTGGCTTTGAATGCTATTTAACCCTTTTGTCAAGTTGCAAAGGAGCAGAGGACTTCAGATAGAGGCCTAACTGGCTGTGGAGCCTCAATGTTTCCCAGTGCTGCTTGCCGGCACCTGTTCCTGCCTCCCCGATCGTTTCTTGATAAGCAGTCCTTTCAATCATTTCAGTCCGCTCCTCACGTAAGGTGCGACCACTCTCCTGAGGTTTCAAAGCCCATTCCTACATCCTTTCGGGGTGCTGTAAATCAATCGAACCAGATCAACGGTGCAGGTTGTCCATGCGGAGCTGGGCAATCCATCGGGCCTGCACGAGCGGCTGGTGATGACGGTGCACGTGCCGATGCTGTGGGGCGTGCCGCCGCAGCTGGACAGCCTCAGGCACGCTATCCGGTCAGGAGGAGGAATCGTGGAAAAGATGTACCGCCAGTGGATGTTTCGGTAACATGGCCAAAGCTGTACATAGTAGGGGGTCAGGCCTCAATTGAACAATTCCTGTAAATACTGGTTCAGGCCGACTTGTGGGGTAAGGCTTTTCCTTTGTACATAATCCTAGTTGCTGTTCCTGTACATGTTAGGAGAAGTGATTCTTCCAGTGCTTAGTGTACAGACTGCGTGCCGCGTTGCATCTGTATATGTCGATGCACACAGGTAGTGATCTAGCAACTTAGCAAGACTTTTTAAGGGCCAGAACTAGACCGAGAGGTATAATTCTGACAACTTGACCACGCTCTATGGAAAGCGTGCTTCACTGATTTGTACAGATTCGTTGAAAGTGAGACAACACCCCCCCGGGCTGAAATATCGTCGCTAGCGACGCTGGCTAGCTAGCTGGCAATTCCGCACACGGCCATGCAGTAGCTCGGATTTGTTCGGCAAATTGGTAGTTCGATCTCGAAAAACTTTCCTGGTGGATTAGATCACGCACGGCTAGAATTTTGGGGGAAACTTCCAAAAGGTGTGCTAGATGAAGAACTAGATTCCTGTACAGCGTCCCTTGCATAACACCATACGCAACTTCACACGACAGCCTAGCTATAGCATCCGCGACTTAACCATTACAAGTCGTGACTTATACATGGATCTTTGATTGAAGGATTCGCTGCATAAGTCCCATGCCATGCCGCGCACGAGAGAATTGTGTTGCACTCGAATGAGAGCTTTACGCGTCATGCAATATCTTGATCGACATCCATTTACTAAGATGCATGAACAATCATGGCTGCGAATCGTCTGGGAGCCCACTTTCTAACTTAAGGAGCTAGAAACATGCACTTCCAATCATACTTTTAAATCTCTAAAAAAGAAACACGTGCTATGCCATGGCACTGATAAGTATAGCTGCAAGCCAGTATTCAGCAGTTGAGTTTGGAAGTAGCTTGGCAGCTCGGTGGAAATCATTGCTATTCTTATGAGTGATTCAAATGCGCATTTACACACTCTCGGATCTATCAAATGATGATCATGACAAATCAGATGTTTGAATGTCGATGAGGCTCCCAACGACCTTATCACAATTGTTCAAGTTGTGACGCATTGCTTCGAGTCTCTTGACTTGTTGAGGCTCCAATGACCATTTAATACTACAAAATACAGATTACTTGCCAGGCTCATGAATGATTAAAGCACGTTTCGACGCTCAATAGTTGGGAGGACGCCAGCAATGCGTTCTTCCCATCATAGGAGCTTTCCCGTCACTATGCACAATGATCTGATCCGCTCAATTTCCGTATCAGGGGGAGAAGAAACTTTTTTCAAGCGAATCTCGTAGAGTAACGGCCAGAACTTTCCTGTCACTGCACCAAAGCAAAATAAGACAATCAGCATACATGAGGTTGCTTGTAATCAGCGCCCGTCGTGAAGTCCTGCTTCGGGTTTTCATGATCAAAGCGAAGCTACTAGTCGAATTCCACGTAGTCCTCACAGATGAGAGCGATTGCTAGCCGTGCGCATCATCAAGAAGGTTCAAGAAGGACTGTATGCTTACCAAACAATCTCTCGTGCTCTTCGTCATATGCAATCCCGTTCAGAACGTCCAGCCGCTGCACTCGGAAACAGAGACCTAAGTAATGGGCCTCGGATTCGAAGGTAGATAAAATTATGACAAAGGCTCGGAGCAAGCTACGACCTCTCGGCGCTGCTTCCTTCTGGTATGACAGAAGATTGCCTCGGGCTTGAAAGAATTGTTTCCAATTTTGGAACAAAAAGATGAAGCAACGTTTCAAGAGACGATTGATACAGGGTCTGACGTAACGAAGGCAAAGCAGTGATTCGAAGTCAATCACAGGAAGTTGGGGCGCCTTCCGAATGTTGTAACCAATCCATTTTACCCTGATCAGAAAAGTTCCAACCAGATCGGTGCGAATCGAGACGCCTCGAGGTTTTACCTGGCCATTGGCTCTATCAAACGCGTGAGCTGTAAGGCCAATCATGTCTATCCACCCCACAACTCGGCCACTTTCCGGATCTATTCTGGCGATGCACTCCCGCTGCAACATGAGGGACAGCGCATTACCAAAAGTCGTCTTTGAAAAGAACCTTGGCAGGTACTCCTAGCCGAAAGGCAACGTGCATCAAAGAGGATCCAAAAGGCCAGACTGCCTGCAGTGCCCGTTCGCAAGCTGCTTGAAGCAGAGCTGGTCTTGACGGCGAGACCAGTGCGTTGACCCTACTGCCAGAGTTGGTCACTCTGTCAAACGTATCAATCATTTGTTCACAGACAGCCCGCAGAAAGCGAGAGAGATATCGGAGTAGCTGCTATTCAAAGGATAACAGGCCATGCTTTTGAGCTCTTGAGGCCAGCCTCCACGCGTTCTCGAAACAGAGTAGACCAACATGGAAAAGGCGGTCACCTGCCAGACATTGGCCCAGATCTCGTTCCCTACCCATTCCAACTCGTTCAAGTATCCCACGTCCCGGCCGTTATCCCTTACTGTTACCTGACGGACCGCTGCAGGGTAGGCCCACGACAGGGGTTTCAGTAATCAGCCTTAGGATGCGAGCGCAGTGCTTGTACATTGTTGATCCATGAACATGGAGAGGTTTGAAGCAGCCAGACTTGTGTGCCCTGGACGTATTCAAACCGACATTGCCTTAGACCTTGGTTCCAACCTGTACTTGTCCTGACTCCGTGGACAAGAAAGATCTCGATGGCCCGCTTTCGGCTGAATCCCCTCCTTACAATTCCATGACACCACCAAGCATATGAAAGAGACAGGAGAGTCGGTGAATCCACAGCTATCCCCCCTGTGTACATAATTTTTCCGATCGTGAAAGAACGGTAGGTCACCTGCGATGGTCGTCGGGTGCAGAAAGAAGATGTTTGCGCTTCCATCACTTGCCACGAAAGTGCCGTTCCCAGTTGTCAGGCCCCACCCATCGTTGAGGGGCGTCTTCAGCGCAGCTGCCTGCAGCCAGAAGTCGAGTCATTAAATCGGGCTTATGAAATTGATGCAAAGCTTGCTTGAACTCGAAAACGACAAGTCACCATTTGCACCGCAGTGGTGCAACAATTGTTTCAATTCATCTGAAAGTGGGTCTTGTCAGAAGAGCACACTCTGCAGCCTGCTCCATCAGGTCAATGATGGAGTTGCCAAACGTTTAAGCCTCGATAGAAATGATCCAGAAGAACATCGGAATCCAAAAAGCCGCCAAAAGACCAGCAATTGCTTGATGTTCCAGCGGACTCGTGGCCAAAGTCGAGAATTTCATACGATGATAGCATTGCAGTTTGTAGCATGTTGAGAAAGAAAATCTAAATCTATCTGAACTCACTGGGGAAAGGGTGCTCCTTGTATAGGACAGAAGGTTGTTGGTCTGCCAAGTCAATTGGTATAGCCTGCATACATCAGACATCTCACAAGGTTTAATCCTTAAGTCCCACAATGACTTGCTGAAGAAGCTCAAGTTGGGGAACTGTCAGAGCAGGGCATGTTTTTGGAGGTTGCAAATTGAGGAATCGTCTGTTGTGCTCCAGATTCACTCAGCCAGACATCGAAGAAGCGAAACTATATTAAGTACACGTGGGTGTCAGATGTCCTTACTTTCTTCCGTAAAGTGCAAGACCCTCGCCGAAGTGCTGCCTTCCCAGATTCCTCTGCTTGATGACCTGGCATGTAAAGCACAAATGTGAAATCAGCATCTTAAGTCTACGCATTCGGAAGGGGCACATGCCATTTCTCCCCCCTGTCGCATCGCGCTGTAACCCAACTGAAGGATTCAACGAGGATGTCATCGCCAAAACAAGCCAACTTACTTGAAATTGACTTCTTGGACATTCTTTACACAGGTACAAGAACCCCCTTGTCACGGAGGGTGGACAGCTAGTAGAGACGCGAAGAATCAAAGAGGCAGGGACAACAATGATGAATCTCAGGTTCCTGACAAGCGCGGGGAAGTGGAATGCCAATGGGGTGATCATGTAGGTACATTCTTAGAGTCTTTTAAAACCCAGAAGAGCAGAAACAGCTACCGTGTCGGCTTACATTCCCTGTTTCAAGCTCCACCTCCCGCACGGAGGAGGCTCCGTTCAAGCCCGTCGATTCATAGAGCACCCCTTTGTGGAACAGCAGGCCCTGAAACCACAAAGGAACGAGGTAGCATTTTGTTATACTAGGAGCCAGCGCTCCTTTCCACATGGTTACGAGAGTAGTTTGGTACAACTTGTCTCCAGCACAGATCTCTCGCCGTGAGCCTTACAGAGATAGCACGTTGCTGTTGCAAACATGGCCGAGAAGGCAGACGTTTCTTGTGTGCCATGAACCCTCTCTGGAGGCAGGTTGAAATCAAGTCCAAGCTTGCTCAAGCTCAGTAACTTTCATGCTCCACCCTGCATTTGCGTGTCAGGATCTACAAGTTTCAGCTACTGCAGATTTTCAGTCTACACTCTATGAATGGAAGTGCCACCATGAACTCAAAAGTCGACGGACCAAGTTGGGCCAGAAGGACAAGGGTTCTACAGAGATCCCAGCATTGTTGTCGGATGCGAGGGTCAGCAATCCAATCAAAACTAAAAACATCGAAATCTCAAAAGACGATGAACCTACACAAAAGTCAAGACAAGGAAAATCTTACCTGTGTGAACGCTTTCGGATCATGAGGGTATGTGGCCACAATCTCGTAGCTGTAAATCACAGGCCCGTCATCCGAATCTTTTAACAGCCTTGCTTTTTGGCTGAGCTGCTCAGCTCCGCTCGCAAGCGCATTGCATTGCGAGGCTCCCAGGACAGGCAATAAAAGAAGGAAAGAGAGGCAACTGTTTAGAATTGCACAACCACTAAGCCCGGATGAGGCAGAAGACAGCACCATTGCGTCGAAGAAGCAGAAACGACTTGTACAATGTGGCGCCAAACAGGCCCAGAAAGCTTTTCTCCATTTGACAATCTCTATTTTTACTATTAGGGTTTCCGAGTTTTAGCCTTTAGGGTTTTGAGGGGGCTGAAGAACAAACGAAAGCCTGCATGAGGCCGAGGCTGTTGGAAGAGGCTTAGGAAGCGCACTAAAAAAGCTTCGCCCCCTACGTAAAATTTAGTTGAGGAGGGAGGAGACAACAGCTGTCAAGCCAGAACTAACAGCTGCGCGTCAAGTCAGTTCTGCAGGATTCTAGTGATTGCTTCCTTTTCTACAGGTTTCCGAACACAGTGCCCCTTTCCAGTCGGGATATCGTGACGGACAGTTGCATAAAGAAACGCGCTGCCTGCCAGATTGACAGCATTGCAAGAATGCAGACCGCATGCAGGAATCCAGTGTTGCGCACGTGTCCACTAAATCTTGTGAGTCGCCATGTCGAAACCAAAGCCTATGCTTCCAGGGCTCTACTCTTTGTGTGCTCTGAAGCTGGTCCTTGCGGCACTGGTTGGATGCCAGGCCTCTTAGGATGTAGATTACGTGGTCGTCTGCAGCCCAGGCCAGCTAATCAAGTAGGGCGCCAAAAGTTGCGGAAAGAAGCTTTGTGCTGGGCTCAACAAGGGGGCGACGGTGGTCCAGTTGCAGCCAATTGGCGGTCAAAAGATCCATACAAAGTGCTCAACGTGTCTGAGGACAGCGACGCTGAGACCATAAAGGCGGCATACAGGAATCTGGTGAGCTGACCACCAAATAGGACCTTCCTGCTGTTGTGGCGCCCTTGGTGCATGTACTCGTGAGGTTGTGGTTACTGAGCTGTCTCCTAGAAGAAGGCAAAGGGAGTAGTCGTCGCAAGGTTGTCGGTCTAGTCTGTACTCAAACACGTCACATAGGGTCCCCGACTTCTCCCTGCAATCACAAGGTGGAACAGAGAGTCTGCCTTGTGAATTGGCCACAAATAAAGTCCTTTTGGGGTATCCTTCTGCGGCTCGAAAGGAGCACTTTCATTGCAGGTTCCTTTTCAATCAACAGTCAGTTGGTATTCTCTCCTCCTGCTCAACTCCCACAAGCAAGCAGAGTGGGGCCGAACCTCGATGATACAAACTGTTTGGCTGTTTGACTGTTTGACACCACATGTCCTGCAGATGAAGGAGTATCATCCAGACGTTTATAGTGGGGTAGAAGATGCAAACATCATAGCGGATCGACTAATTCGAGCTTACAAGGTAAGTAGTTGCCCCCATTCTTTGAAAGCTCTTCTCATCCTCCAAGACTTCTTGGCATCTCATAGACAAGATCTTTGACTCAAATTGTATTCGAAGCTGCATCACCTGAACACACCCATTGTTTTTCACGAAAGTGCCCCATCCGATACCAAAAAGCACAACAAAAGGTGCAGCTTCTTTGAAATCTTCTAACTTGATTTGTTGTCCACTTGGTGTTTTGTAGGCTGAAGAAGACCAGCCAACCCAAAGGTGTGATTGCAACTGACTTTTTGGTCCCGTTTCTCGCAGCTTCTGATCGACGACGATGATCGGGAGCAGATACGATTACGAAAGGAACGAGGGCCATTCAGAGAGCCTGATGGGCCGGCTGTCAGTGTGTTCGTCAACGAGTTTAGGTGCATCGGACCGCAGTGTCCTTACAGCTGCGTCCGCAAGGCACCCAAAACGTTCTACTTTGCCCAGGAGACGATGAGAGCCCGAGCAACGAATCGAGGTAACGCGTCACACCCTTCTGCCATCTTGGAATTCTCTTCATGCGTGTTGATTGGTAGCAGTGAAGAGGAGAAGGGCTCCATCTTCTCCGATTGTGCTCGTTTTGGTGGTGTTCAGGTACGCAATCCGCAAGCTAGCTGCACGGGAGAGACACGAGGCGTTCTTTCTTCGTCCCTTCTTAGTATCGATTGTCAACCGGCTGTTTTCAAATCGGGGGTTTCGATTGTTGTTCTCGAAGAAGGCAGACACTGACTTACGGCTGTGAAATTCTCTCATGTGCTTCGGGGCCTCTTCACATGTAGGTGGGGACGATGACTACAATATTCAGATGGCTGTCGGCCAATGCCCGGAAACCTGCATTCATTTTGTCACGGAAGACCAACGGCTGGAGCTCGAACAGCTGATGGAGAGGTGCGTGCGAATACACCTTGCCTGTATTCGCAAGTCCTATCGAGCAGATCATGTTTTCTTAAGCAGCTCAGTAAAGTCGATCACGTGAGCTTCGTCCCCTGTTTGTATTATCTGAAGGATTATACGCGTGGATGTAGTATATTTCGAATGGAGACCCCGGGGACCCGACTGCAGCTTTCATTTCTCTGCTGCCATCGCCCCGCGGCTTTACTCGAAAGAATCCATCCTGCAGCTGCTCCTCGGCTTGAAGTTGCTCGGATGGTATTTGAAGTCCAACTTTGACGCTCGACGTCTTCATTGTAAGAATCCAATCAAGCTCTAAACACTTACACGGTCTGGAAAGCCCTTTCATAGGACTAAGATGTACATCTGCGGTATTGTGAGTTGGTGGCTGAATCTGTTGCCTGGTTTAAGCTAGAATGAGCTCCCACTATTCAAAATCATTTTGAGCTCGAAGGGTTGCACTTGGTTGACGAAATTCTTTACTTGATTCGTGTACGTTTGTGGAGGGTGAATGCGCCTTAACGAGGGGAGAGTGCAGACAATAACAAAGTGATAGAGGCAGGCGAAATATTGGGTGTCAAGGGATCAAACTTTGACAAGTTCTTCAATCCTTGACCGTAGATTGTTGTGATGCAGTGCTGTCGTAAGAGGTGAACGTTCGGACGAAGTTCAATACCAAATGGAGATGCTGATCGCAACTGCTAATTTTGAAAATGGGAGGGACAGGAAGCCGCGAAGGACTCCAAAAAAACGGGATCAGTATGTTGACTGGTTCTGAGAAGGTCAATTGCACGGGCCTTGAATTGTCCCACTTTAGCACTTACATGGAAGCCACCTGACTAACGTGTTCAAGCGGCGCTTGCAGCCTAGTTTATTCGAATTGCCTCAAATTGTATATACGAGACTGGTCACATTGGCGGCCTATCTTTAGGACTGATAGTTCATCTTGTGACATAAGGTGCCATCTTCGTATCAACAATGACACGTTGGAGGATGCTATCGGTCAGGGAGGAACTTGGAAGCTTGGTAGTTTTGAAACTAGTAGGCAGTTAGGGATAGCTGCTAGTAGTCCTTGTACAGTCCTGTCAGAAATGATCACAACTGCTTGCAAGACACAATCTCCAGACTAAGTTCGAAGGACTGGCCGGTCCCATTGCGTTTGACTTAGAATATAATGTGCATGTGAGCATCAACGCGACTCGGATGCCGGGACATGCTGTCCGACCGGTAGAGCTATATCTATCTCTAGCTGCTATAGATCATAATTGAATTCACGTTTGTGCCACTAGCCTGAGGAATGACCGTCATGCTCAAAGTGTACGTACATTGCCCATGCGCATGGCCATGATCGTGCTCAGTACATATATATGCAGGTTGCAAACGCTGCATGGGTCATATCGAATGTTTGATCGGCCGGCGCGCGCCGCGCACCATACAGTCACATGCAAAAAGCAACTGAACATATACGTACAAGAAATTCATTGTGCATGAGTGGCTAGCTGGGTAAGTTGGCTATCATGTCACAACCGACACGGGAAATGGATAAGAGTCACATGTCTAACTTCCTCAGCCTGGCTACCGCCGGAGACCTGATGTGCCGCGCTATACTGGCATCGATTACAAATGATGAGAGGCACAGGAGCGCGTCGAACAGGAATCGTACGTACTGAGTATTAAGACAACCACGCCTCCAGGCTTGTTGCACCTTGCAGCTTTGAATCCTGAATGATGGGGGCCAGAAAACGACATATCTGAAAGGGTCAAGGCTTGTGGCGCCACTTCCTAGAGCTGTCCCCAACGCTGCGCTTACGTGCAGAAACGGTCAAGGAGGTACATCTGAGACGCTGAGCTTCAAAGCGTGGTCAACTCCGCGCGACTTACAACGACTTTAGGCAAATAATTCCCTAGCTCGGCAGGCCCAATCTCAACGGCCTCAATACATAAATGTACACACTCTTTGTTCTGCCAGTTGGCCAAACACGTCGACTGTAGCCCACACAAAGCCTTGCATGTAGAGTACACAAAACCGGGAGCCCCGCTTTTGCGCAGGCCTCCCGCAACTCGTTCCATGCTGCCATGCAACTTAGTCTTCGTACAGATACTCGTCTTCCTTCGGTAGCAACCCTCCAAACAAACCCCCCTTCCCTCCTTTCTTGGCCGCCGCTGGTTTAGGCGCGGGGGCCTTAGGGGCCGCTTTCTTCAATTGCGAGCCAACTCGCGCCACCTGCTTGGCTGCCGCTGGCCGTGACCGCTGCACCTTGGCCGCCACCCCGTTGGCCCCCTCGTCCACCTTCTTCTGCAGCAGGGACCCGAACGCGAAGGCCGACTTCTTCGCCTCCTTAACCGGCTCTTCCACCACCTCTTCCTTCTTCGGCAACAACGACCCGAAATTGAAGCCCCCCGCGGCCTTCTTGACCTCCTTCACGGGCTCACTCCGAGCCGCTTTCCGCACCGCTGGCTGCACCTGCGCCTTGGCGCGCCCCGCCACCTTCTTGGCCGCTCCTCTGACCTCCTCGGCGGCGTCCTCGGCCCCCTCCTCCGCTTTGTTGAAGAGTGAGCCAAAGCTGAACGACTGCGCGCCCTTCTTGGAGGGTGCGGCAAATGCGTCGAGAGGGCCCAAGTTCATCTGCTCGGCCTTGGCAGCCACGGTCTGCACCGCCGTGCCTGTATGCGGGGACGCACCTAGTGAGCCGACCTTCAAAACTGTCATCAACCACTCAAAATTGTCGACTTGGAGGCTAAACGCTCAACAATTGTTAAAGCCTGGCTTGCAAGAACTCCGTTCGGATTGCTTCGATCTAGTCTGGGCGAAAATGTTGTCTTCTTTCGACAGGGCAAAGCACAGATTGTGTGCTTACTGACAGAGTACACCTACCATCTAGCCGTGCATGACCTGACCCCTGCATCGAAGCGGCCAGTCCTCGACCTAGTCGCAAGACTTCTGCACTGTGTGCTTAGCTGAACCCAAAAGGCGTCAACTGATACCCAACTTCACAAGAAAGTTGGGGCCGTCCAAAAAATCATCAGCTTGTCCTTGCCTGACGAGCTATTGCGCCAATATACTTTACAGACCGCTTACTTCGAGTCGCTCGGAGTCTGCACAAACTCATGGCCTGAGCTTCGGGTATCCAGCCTAGATCTTGCAGTTGCTTCTTGTACGCTGCATCCTACAGCTGCGCTCCCTTCAACAGCTGTGACTGCTCTTATGATGGGGTCAACTGGTGCGCACTGCTGTGCCAGGTGTTATCCTCGGCAAAGCTCATCCTGCCAGCCCTCACCCACCAGCAGTGTCCTGCACCCTTCTGAGAGGACGCTTTCTTCAACCAGAACATGTAATCATCCCAAGCAAAGCTTTTCCAGAGACATCAAGCTCAAAGGCCTCGTCTTCTAGCCCTCGTCAACGTTATCAAATTCTCAACCCCAACCGCTCGCTCACCTGCCGAGTCGGCCCTGGCGCGGGCCCTCTCCCTGGCTGCCGCCGCACGCGCCTCGATGGCCTGCATCTGCTTGGCCTCTTGCTCCAGCTCCTTCTTGCGCGCCTCTGCCGCGGAGGCCTCCTCTGCTGCTTCCCGCGCTGCCTCCTGGGCCTGTGCGCGCCTCTGGGCCTCCTCTTCCGCTTCCTGCGCCCGCTTCTCCGCAGCGGCCGCCTCCTCTTCTGCAGCCTTCTTGGCGGCAATCACCTCCCCGTAGCGCCCGTCCTCAGAGACAGCACTGTGGAGAAAGGGACAAGGTGAGCTTCAGCAAGTCAACCCGTGTAAAAGAGAAAGTATTCAGTTAGTTTGCTTGCTCAATTGGAAGAAGCTCTGTAAGCTCCCTGCCAGGAAGACATTTAGCTTAGGGCTTCGAAATTTCAATGTGGCTTTTCTGTTGCGTGAAATGAGGCAGTGACTGTAAGACTGCTGGGATCTCCGTTGGATGCAGTGACAAGGTCCTCATGGCGCCCATGCATCAAGTGTTCCAAACGACTTATGCTTCTCCAAAACCTGCTGCCTTTCTGAAAGTTCCAGAAGGATAATGGAAGACTCCTCCCCCCCTTCCTGTTTTGACTCAGTTGACAAGCAACAACCACAGCCGGGCACAGGACTCGCAGCACAAAATGTGCAAAGCACACAAAACTTCACCTGGGTCTGCATTAATGCTAGATACTCAGCCCAGTCTTCTCAGTTGTGGACTCAAGATAGAAAGTGCAGCTACGGCCAGGAGAGATCGATGGCCCAGCCAGCCAGCAACCAGCATCGAAGTAATCTCTCTCCACTGTGAAATCACGCAGGTACGCCCCTCCATATCGCATCAACTCGTGCTTCAGTCGCAGAGGGCCTCACTGAAGCCACAGTTGGGCCTCCGGACGACACTCGAATCTACTTTGCTGCTCGCGCAATCAGGGCCGCAAATCAAAGAAGGGGTGGCAGGGCCACCAATCAGAGCAATCAGAGAAAGGGTGGCTGGCGCTCACCTGAGCAGGTCGGAGATGGTCTTGCTGGGCGCCTCGGCGCTGCTGGACACCTCAAACACCTGCAGGCACCAGAGAAGGTAAGACTCCCCACTTGGGCAAAAGTAGCAGATGGGTGTGGAAGCAGAAATGGCCACAAGGGACTCGCCTCACACCAGAAACGTGTTTTGTTAGTCCACTCTGGCATGCCAGATACATGACAGAAAGGCACCCTGTACGTTGCAGTCTTCAGCCACAGCCTCATGCATGGCCTGACAGAAGGCGTCAATTGGCCCGTTTGCAATGTCACTTGTTGAAGTCGATCGCGCGGCTGGGCTGCAAAAACTGCCTGTACCATTCTTGCAGCTTCTCCCATTGCCTCTAATATGCACAGTCTGGGGCTCTGACTGACCTTGTTCTTTGCTACCTCCAGGTCAGCCAACGCCCCCGCCACCACCTCGGCCACTTGGGACTTGGAGACCTGAGAGGCAAAGAGAGTACAATTGGAGATTCCTCAATGTGGTCTTGGGCCATATCTAGAAGTAGATGGATAAGTGTTTGCTACCCTCTAGCTGCCAGGAATCACAGTGCCGAACACCTTACCATCAAAAAAGTAGAGGTGCAAGCCACAGCAGTCTGTGATGACATTCAGAAAACCTTTCTCCATCTTCCTCTACTGTTCAATGTGGTCTACCTTCAGTGTATGGGCAAATTGGCCCTCCAATTCGGTTAGTACCACGACTTCAACCCCAGGTGAGGGACTAACGCTTTCCCACATTGTTCTCCATGGCTGTCACCCCCTGGGGCCACATTACCGCTCACCTTCCCTGTCAGCGCGGTCCCCTCTGCCTCCACGACCAAATTTCCCTCGCTCTCGCCATCCGGTCCCGCCCTGACCACCGTGTATGTCAACCCGCTCTCCGCCAGCTTGTCTAACAGGCCCTTGTCACTCACTGCGCCGCCCCCCCCAAAGAACCCGCTGAAAAAGCCGCCACCCCCGCCACTCGACCCCCCCTTGGAGGAGACCAGCACAAAATGGCTCGAGTTGGCCAGCTTGGCAGCCTCCAGGACTCGCAGCGCGTCCTGATTGCTCATCTTTCCACGTGGGCCGTTCTCAGCGGAGCCGAGAGCCAGCACAACCTTGCCGGCATTGCCAATGGACTCCGCAATGGAGTCGACGTCGGTGACATCGTACTCCACAATGTTCACTCGCTTGGCCTCCTCCCGGGAGATCAGCTACGAAAACAGAAGTGCGGGACAGTCAGGGGAGGGGCACGGTATACCCACATTCTCAAAACAGGTTGCTTGAGATTCAAGCATGGGAAGCCAAGTGAGGAAAAGGGGCGACCACTGGTCTTCATTCCACAAACGCGGTTTACAAGCATGACCTAAGTGCACTATGTGGAGCATGATGCACCATAACCTTCTCTCATTTTCCAAAGGTATGCTGTCTGCCTTTTGCATGCCAAAAGGCAGTTCAATGGCCTTCAGTGAAAAAGATAGTGTGCAGTATAAAGTCCAATGGTTCAGTCCCGGTTTCAATTCATGCTTGCAGAATTGTAAGTGATCTAACTCAAATATTGGTTGGGGCCTCGCAGACATCTTTCTTGGAAGCCTCTGGAAAAGCATCCATGTGGCTGCTGCGAAAGGGATAGCGATAGTCTGCAGGTAATCTAGGCCTCAGCTTTTTGCATTCTGGCCTTGGAGGACATGCCCACTAGTGGCATGCATGAGATACGACTGAATTTTTTCCGACCCTTCCTCAGAAGGGCTTGGGCTGTTGCACCCTCTAAACGAACGAAAAGGTCAGAGCCACATTGTATAGAAAGCAGAATCAGGACAGAACTACGACCGTCTGCTTGCTAAATCAAGCTTAGCTTATTGATGGTCACCTGGAAAATTCCAATGACTGCGGAGTGTATGCTTCATTGCTATTCACGTTACATGATAAGAGTGGCCACAATGTGGCAACATCGGTCACTGATTGCCTTCCCACAAATGCTCAGAAAACAAGCACGATGTGCCGAAGCACAATGACCTATGGCGAATGTGCCAAAAAGAACGGATGAGCTCAAATTGCATAGCATGCATTGCCCAGACATTGGACGCCTTGCCTTGCAAACAACAAGACCCTCACCTCATACTGCACGGCAAATGCCAGCAATTTGTCCGCTTCCTCGGCATCAGGCACAGCCGCGCGCACATTCAGCCCCGCTGCCAACACTTCTTTGGCAATGCGCACTCCGGTCTGCCCAGTGGCCCCGCTCACAAACACAGTCTTTGGATCGGTAGGCTTCGCCCGCTGCACAAACGTCTGGGCAAGAGCCGCAAATCTCTGTGTGGTGCCGGTCTTTCCGGTACCAGTGGCCTTCTGCAGCTGCGTTCCCTTCTTTACAGCCGTGCCTGTGCCTCGTGAAACTTTCTGCGTCCCGGTTGCCTTGTTGGCCCCCAGCTTGAACCAGCCTGTCCCCTTGGGTTCTGGCTCTGGCTCTGGCGCCTTCTTGTTTGCTTTCTGCACTGCCGTCCCAATCTTCTGAAAAAAGCCAGGCTCAGAATCCTTTGCCCGCACCCCCTGGCATTTGACGGCCCGCTCATGCCTTGTTGGGACTATCACAGAGTTCAATTGTACCTTCCTGAGGCCAACATGGCACGCAAAGGTCCTCCTGCCATCAGATATGGAGGCAGACTCAAAACCACTCTTTGCTGAGGGTACTAAAGCGCTGCTGCAGGATGTGACAACGGCAGGGGACAGAGCAGAAGCCATGCTCCTCAATGGGTAAAGATTTACACTCAACCACGTTGCTTTCCACACGTTGCTTCCCACTGCCGAAGCCTGCCTGCTTTGTGGTAATTGTGCCCCTCCCCCTCTTTGCAGAACCCTAATTGAGGCCACGTACTACTGTAATCTGGCACGCTCCTCTGCAAGCACCAACGAGGAAGAAGGTGTGCTGAGGAGGAGGAATGCAAGCATGCAAGCACTCAGAGATTCTGCAGCAGCGGCTCTGGAGTCTGCAACTTGCCGCAATGCAAGGTGAGCTGCTCGAGTCTTGAGAAGTTGAGACCAACGGGCGGCCGGGCCATTTCGGAGGCGAGAGTCCTGTCCGACTAATCAGAAGGCTCCAATCTACCACGTCACCATTTGAAAGCATCCACTTTTGACCCACTTTCGTGCTGCCACGTGAAGCTCTCTCATTCGACAGCTTCTTCATCCTCCCGCTCCAACGCTCCAAATATTAGTTTCGAGCCACATACCTAGTTGATCTTGACTACAGGGAAGACCTAGTCTTTATACATGGTCAACATGGTACAGAACAATGATACCAATATTATGAACGTGGACTGACGCCGTCGTGTGGAGCAGATTACAAATTGGCTTCACGTATCAGTGCCGAGTCATGTGGTGTTCGATGGTGTCGTACTATACTGACCAGCAAGATCGTGAGTCGATCCATTAGCTATGCTCGTGCTGCATGGCAGGGATTCAATCAACCACCTTTGTTTATCATATTGGTAGAAGCCTTATGACTACTAGATGATTAGTTGTGTATCTAAAGTTTATATCCGATATACTGATCAAGGGTGTGCATGCGGCTGACCAGCTCTCAACGAGCAGCCCGCCGGCTGCAGATCGATCCCGCTGGCACTGTATAGCTCTAAGGTTTGCTACTAGATCACTCTTTAATGCACTTGACACATCGATGAAACATGCAACGAATTCCACCAACCATATAGGAAGCAATTGCGAAGTCTTTCAGATCTACAGCTCCATCTGTATCAAACATCAATGAGCGAGTAGTGTCGGACTCTTGCCGCCCAACTTTAGCTTCAATGGAAGCCCACGGACATACACCTTCCTTGTAAGATGCTGCCCTGAACTCATCATTGGGGCAAGTCGCGCACAAACTGCGATCTCGGACGTACTTGGCGCACAATTCATATGCATCACCACCTCATCGGTCTAGTTGCGGGACTCTGTGTCTATGACATGCTTCCGTTCTGCTTCATAGCCAAAGTGTTCGAGCCGACACCTACTTCGTCCTTTCTGGAGAAAAGTGAAAGTCCTCGGCAGCCTCTAGTACACGTACCGACTCGATACTTATCACAAGCGAACGTTAATTTCGGTCTGCGTGCTCTCTCCTCATTGACAAACGGCATCAAGTGTCTCTTTCCCGTTCGTGTCATCAGACGATTCTTGGGAGACCTTCATTAAATTCGCTGTCTACATTAACTTGGACCAATGCGGTGATACTAAGATTCAAACTTGCTAGAAGAGGGAGTAGGTTGCTCCATGTTGGGCAAGTCCTTGGACAGCATGCTCGCGTTCCTAGCACGGAGCGGGGGGCGTGGCAGGTCCCGCTCCAATGCAGCGAGTGTCGCCGCAGCTGGGTCATTGTGGTGCGGAGGACGCTGTCCATACTTGTGAGGACGTCAGCTTGAAGGTCCTGAGAGCCTGAGGATGTCAGCAATAGGTATCCTGTCAGGTTGCAAAAGTCAACCTATTAACACGGGTTGAAAGTACAGAGTTCTTTATCGTTCGATGCTCACATGTTGAACAATGAAAGCCGTTGAACTATGATGACCAGGAGATGCCAAGTCTGCGGTGCCGAAGTCGAATAGGTCTCGATACCCCTCGCACACGTGACGGCTGACAGACAATGTCGGTTGAAAAAGCTGGGGTTGAGGTGTACCTGGAGGGCCATTTCCGCGGAGGCGCTCTTGACCCAGGTGACGTAATCTCCTTGCGGGTTCGAGCCTAAAAGCAGCATGTCCTTGGCCAGCGGATTCGACAGCACCTGCAAAGAGGCCAGAAGAATCAGACTGGCGCGAATGCCTCTCGCTCGTCTCTGCATGCCTCTCCTTGCAAAAAGAATGCAGTCCGGATTCGGGAACCAACCGATGCGGGGCGCTCCTCCAGAAGGAAAAAGAGTTTTCGACCTTTCTGCAGGTTCTCTCAAGAAGTACTTAAAGTCCCGCAGATTGTGATTCTGTTCCATCAATGCGGGGATAGTCACTCCAGAGAGACGGAGGCGGCACCTGGCAAGTTTTGAAGGACACAGCACTCAACGAGACGCCTTTCAAGCGCTCGCACACTCTTCGCAATAGTTGCAACTTGAGCTCCGCGCGGCACACCTGGTTGAACTTTTTGGTGATGTCCCCCAGCTGCGCTCAAGGGGTTGCAGGCGCCAAACAATGCCGTCGGTCTTGCTCTTGGTGTCGCAGAGGATTTGCTGTTCAGCTGCGCCTTCCGCTTGAGTGCGCCTGCGTCATAAGGTCCAAAGCAGTGAGCCGGAGGCTTGCGAGCAACTCAGCCAGGCAGACTTTGCATGATTGTTCGAGATTCCTAGCTAGCTTTAGAGGCTTGAGAGTTTAGAGCAAGTACCAAAGCTTATCCTTGCCTACTGCTGGAGGTGGCCAGAGTGGCGGTTCTGAAAGCAACGCACTTTTGACGTGGCCAGAGGTTGCGCAGACATCACGTCCATAGCGGACCTGCCCCCAGTGCCCACTGGAACAGGCGGCCTCAGATCTCTTGCTCAGGGATCAAGTATGCCAGTTTGTGTCGGACAGCATCCAGAAGGAATTGCCGAGAACACCGATCCCATCTTTCAAAGATAGAGCGAGAAAACATGCTAGGCAAGTGATACTCTGAGGGCGAAGCTTTCATCTCCGCACAGCTCGTTCCTTCTTACATTTTCCCCCCGTATCCATGCTGTGGACATTATGAACTGAGTAGCCTCCCTCTTTCTAAACAATGCAATAAACCCCAATAAGATTCTCGATTGAGCCTTCGACGTTAAGAAACAAAAAATCCATGGCAAGCCTTACCTAGTTGATAACGCTTGCATGCAAAGCACAGGCATGTGCGCAGCGCCTACTCTGAAAGAACGCTTAGAGCACCTTGAAATGGCGACATCAAATCTCATAAGATGTTGTAATCTCAGTCGTATTGTTCAGCACAAGGCTCTGTTGTTCTTATAACTTCAGAGTGGAATGCGCAGTCCTAAGAAGAATGCGATGTTATTGAGCACCTTGACTCTGCAGTCAACTTATTATACCAAAAGTCTCAGCTTCGTGTACCAAACTTGGACCTTTCGGCTCCCTGCCTACGAGCCCTAGAAGAGTAGAACTGGAAACTCGCCAAATGGACAGTGTGCAAGGTGCTACGTCGACTCTTGTTGAGTCTCAAAGAGCTACTGATAGAAGTCCAGTTACCACGTTGAATGTCAATAGACACCTTTGTTCCAAGTGAGTCTGCCTTTTTCCGTTCTCAGACTTTTGTAAACTCTGATAACTGTTGGCATTAAGAGCCACCCAAGTCATTAGACTCAGGCTCACGAGCATGTGGTATCCAGTCTTCATGATCGTCTAGAGGCGAAACTCTTGGCCTGAATGGAAGTTTGTGAACAAACCCGAAAGATGTCACAAATGACAAAAATAGTTGAACAAAGCCAGGATAAATCTCCTTCCACTGCTGCTTGATCACACTGACACAACCTTATTCAATGACCTCAAAACATCGCTGTGTGCACGTAAAAGATTCAAGCCCAAACCAGCAGATTGGTTTACAATTGGGAGCTTGAATTTGATAATCTCGAATTCATGAAAGCTGAAAGGCACCTGAAAGCTCACTGGGCCTAAAACATGAAATTGGCTAAACATGAAAGATGCTTAACATGAAAGATCAGTGAATGCAGAAAAATAAAGAGCCTGACTCACTCAACATGAGATGATTGTAAGATGGGGAATGCCTTGAAAGGCAATTGTTGCGTTCACGAGGGAGACAAGTGATCCACTCTGGATGCCGAAACTTTCGTCAACTAAACAGGTTGTTGCTGCACTTCGGATCAAGTGGAACTGACAATGAGTTGCAAAGAAGCTGGTCAGATATTTCATTTTCAAGGCACCGAAAATGCTTGGAAGCCTGAAAGGCTTGAGTGTGAAAGACTAAAGGTCTGAAAGACCTGAAAGCCTGAAAGGCTTGAGCCTGAAAGGCTTGGAGTCTGAAAGACTTAGGTCTGAAAGACCCCAAAGCCTGAAAGGCTTGAGCGTATGGTGCTTGAAGGATAGGGAGGACAGGGAGTACTCAGGAAAGATCGGGAGGATTTTACAGCGAGTGTGAGGTGCTAGAAGGACAGGGAAAGGAGTTGCAGACCAGGCTTGAGGTGCTTGGAGACTTTCAGGGGCGTTGTGAAGAAGACCAATCTTAAGCATTATGAAGCATTTGCTCAGGTGCTTGGTAGACCTCGGGGGTCTTCTGAACAACACAGAATGCACTTTAAGAAGCATCGAAGATGGCAGACCCTGGTGCCTGTCAACCAGTCGAGCTCCTGTCCCGCTTGATCTTAGCAATAAACCTCACCTCGCTCAGTGCTCATGGCTTGGGTGTAGCCCGACCCTGCTTCTCAGCTAAATGCTTGCGTTCATCAAGGCAGTCAGCGCTCCCGTCAGTGTCAATGCAATCCTCGAGGGAGATCCAAAGGAGAGCCTGCTTGCAAGACCAGCAGCCCTGCAAACGTACGTGGAACAAGGCAATCAGCTCTTCAGGACAAGTTTGGTTCAATGGGCACTCTCGTTGGAGTACCGCTAATGCCAGATGTACAGCCGCCCTGTGGAGAGCTCTTATGACTGAAAGATTTTGAGAATAGAGTTGGTGAACAATGGGCGAAAGACAAGAGTGATTCAACAGAATCGGAGGCAATCAGGAGTGCCCCCGTTCAAGCATTGCTTGTGTTTTTGTTCAAGCGCCCTGTCCTTCAAGCACCGGCAAATGCTTTGAAGCCTGAAAAGGTTTAAGTCTGAAAAGACTCGAAGCCTGAAAAGGCTTAAGCATGAGGTGCTTGAAGGACAGGACAGACTTGGAACAAAAGCATGGCCAAGCTTGAACAAACCCAACAGTCGACCTTCTCAAGTTTTCCATCATTACTTCACACAATGATAGACATAAAAGACCACTTACAAGGAAGATCTGGAAACTTACGAAAGCGCTGCGTTCTGAAGCGTTGCAGAGTGCTTGCAATACTCGCCAGCGTGAATGTCATATTGTCACACAATTGCAGGTGAGAAGGCAAACAGTACTAGACTCTCCGGGCAATGGTGCCCTAGCTAGCGCTCCCTAATGATGCTTGCCAAAGGCGCTGAAGGATGGGATGGTGTATGCTCCTGCGGCACTGACATCTGAGAGAGATGACGCTCAGGCAAGCTGATCAAGCCTCAGCATCGAGCTGCAAGCCAGGACCAGCCTGGTACGTACCTTTCCGCTTGGTATAGTACCTGGGCACTCCCCTAAAATTAGACTGAACGTCACTGACGCAAAACGTACAAAGTTTGCGAATAGAATCTGGGAGAATCGGCATCGGACGGTACCGGGGCGAAAATGGCAGTGTACGGTATGCACCGTCGCTGCTCGTCGCGGTACCTAGACCTGGCTACCGCAGAACCAACCGGGCAGTCTTATTGACCTTAGGGTTAAGTCTCAAAGCAGTGACGTACGGTATGTTAGGGTTACGCCACTTCCCTGTGACGGTTTGTTAGGGTTAAGTTCCTTCCCTGTGACTGCTCTACGATTAGGGTTCCTACTAACGGCTAAGCCACTGTCCTTAGGGTTTTGGTGTCGTTCCGACAGTCCGAGCACTTTTAGTGTCCGAACAGGGTGTCCGCGTCCGATTCTCCCAAATTCTATTCGCAAACTTTGTGCCTCTTGCACAAGCAACCTATGGTGGGTATCGGCGGTCTCGATCGCGCGACGATCCGGTCACAAATTTGAATCACCGGTGTGTCGCGTCGCGACAATTACTGTACGCGGTACTGACGACCGTGCAGACCGGTACTTGAGAATCCGGTCCGAGTTCATAAATTAGAATCTGTCTGACAATCCGGTCGTCAGAAATTTCCGGAGTTTCCGGCGGTACGGTACCGATCAAGTCTGACCGTACGTGAAATTTGAAAATCATGGTTTCGATCGGAAGTTCCGACTCGAACCACCCTAGAGTACCGCGGTACCTAACTTGAAAGGAGAGTGCAGAAGATGGAAACGGGAGTGTAGGGAATGGCGCTTTTTAGAAGCAAGCAATGGCGGCCATTTGCAGCCACGATGGTGCTTCTTCCGATTTGTCCTCAACATAACAAGATGTTGGAGCTTCGAAGGAGCCTTCATGACGCTCTCCCAACATTTTTTTCTGCTTGTCAGAGGTTTTTATAAGCCTGCATATGGCTCTTCTTTGCGTGCCAATTTGATGCTCCTCTCAAAGTGTAAAACCTGACACTGTTTAAGAATCTCCTCACACTTACTTACGGCCCGGCAAAATTCTCTGAGTATTTGTACCGCCCGAGTAACATAAACCTGAGTAGCCGTGACGCGAACCGCCGGTAACACTGACGATATTCGATACGCGCTAAATCGATTTTGTGGCGGCCGGAGTCGGAATCGACTCGGCCGGTACCCACCATAGGTAGCTTGTGTGCGTCACTGACGGTTACGTTACCGTACCACGGTCCTCGCTCGGATCCGTCCGTCCGCCAACCTCTGTGGGTCGTGTCCTAGCGGAATCCGCCCGACGATTTTTGCAAGTCCTGCATTTTTGCGGAATACAAAACATCATTGATCACATCGGTCATGACGGTGACGAGCTGAGACATCTTAATGCCTCGTGATACCCGGTTGAGTTTGCTATCATTCACTCGATGATACATGCACTTGGATCATATGACGGATTATGCAACGGGTTCTACATGTGAACGATAAGAAGCGCTTGCCAGCTATAGCTCATAGATATCGCGACAAGACTATGAGCGAGCGTGATTCTTGTCACCCAATAGCTTGGAACGCCAGAGATATACACCTTCCTTGTAAGATTCTGCCGTGACCTCAATGGGGCAACTCGTTCAAAAATCTGCTCTCGGACGTACTTGGCGTCCCAATCGTATGCATCACCGCCCCAAGAGTGTTTGCAGTAATCCGCGTCTATAACGTGCTTCCTTTTCCGGTTCAGAGCCAAAGTGTTCGAGCCTGCCTGCTTTGTTGTTTCTAGGTAAGGTAGGTAAAAGTCCTCGCCTCCTATACAGTGACACCAACCGACTCGATAGGTATGCACAAGCGAGCTGTTTTTTCGGTCTGCGTGCCTCTCTTCTCATTTACATATGGCGCCAAGCATCCCTCCCCACTTCCTGCGTCAACATACGAATTTTTGGGCTCCCTTCACAAATCTTGCTTTCAACATAAGTTAGACCAATGCGGTAATACTCAGACTCAAACTTGCTAGAAGAGGGAGTAGGACTGCTCCACGTTGGGCATGTCCTTGGACAGCATGCTGCGCGCTTCCAGCACGGAGCGGGGCGCGTCGAGATCCCGCTCTTGCAGCGAGTGGCTCTGCAGCTGGGTCATGTGGTGCGTGAAGACGCGGTCCAAATACTGCACACAGGTGAAAAGCGTAGTGAGCAGGTGTACGCTGAGGTCAGGCGTGTCCGACTGCTGGCCGACTGAAAGACAATCAGCTCCAAGACTCCTTCTTGTGAAGTAGGATGCCGTCAAGCATCTTCGAAAAGCAGTCCTCTTGGTCCCCGCTGCTATCAAGAGCAACGGAGTTGTCGAGCCTGCTCTTGTCAAACTTTCTCGCAAACATTTTAGCTGTAGCTAGCTCGTTTGCAAGGGCGGGCCAAGTGTTGCTGCCGGCTTCACCTGGAGGGCCATCTCGGCGGAGGCGCTTTTGACCCAGGACATGTTCTCTTTGCGGTTCTCGAGGAAGTGCAGCACGTCCTTGGCCATGCGGTCCCAGTAGCCGCGGCACACCGCCACAAACACGCGGCTCGACAACACCTGCAAGAAAAATACGCCGAGAGACGCTAAATACCAGCACGAAGAATGATTTGTTGATAGCAAACGGATACGCGAGGCTTTCCTTTCACGAATCTGCAAGATTTGGGGAAATGAAGCTTGCTCGGGTGCTTCACTCGGATGTTGAAAGGCATTGAACCGCGAAGAGTGGCTGATGCCCTACTGAATAGCGAATCTTAACCATAGGGAACGCATTGATTCGAGATCCCGTTCTGGCGATGCTAACAGTGAAGTAAACAGACGGTCGAGAGATTTGAAATAGGTTTGTGCGATCAGCGAAACGGCTTTTGAGTGCGCGCGCTTTCGAAGCACCACTCTGAAAGGTTTATGCGATTAGAAGCAGTCAGCGAAACGGCTTCTGAGTGCGCGCGCTTTCATGGCACCACTCTGAACGAGTTGGCGCACGGCGCACCTGGTCGAGGTGTTTGATGGTATCTCCCAGCTGCGCCACGAGGGGCTGCATGCGCCGCGCGATGTCGTCGCCCTTGCCCTTGGTGTCTTGTAAAATCTTCTTCAGGTGCGTCTTCCGCTCCGAGTGGGCCTGCAACAGGGCGCGAGAACTGATAATACGGAGAAATACGGGCAGAGCGGCCTGGGAAGGTAAGAAGCATTACTACATGTCTCCGGACCTTCTTATTTTAATGGCTTGTTTGTAACATTACTCATGCATTCTTCTGTAGACCGCTTGAGTTGCTCAAACTTGGAAGAGGCGAGTATCGACTCTGGCCTTGCAGATACGCGTGTTCGACCCCGCTAAAAGCGCGGCAAATTTGCGTTCACGACCGTCATCGTTTCGGCTGCTATGCATACATCAAAGCGCTGTCACACGGTGGTCTCACGTTTTGCGCTAGCTTCTCGATGATGGCGGACAGCGTGTTCTTGTACTTGGCGCGCAGCTCCACCGTCACCTCTGCGAAACGGTCGCCGAACGCGGCCCGTCCGTCGGAGCCGTCCAGCGGGATGCCCGCCAGCCACGCCTTCATCTGCGCCTCCACCTTGGGCCGCAGCGACTCCAGCAGCCGCTTCAGCGTGCTGAGAATGACGCCCAACTGTTGGGCAAAAAGGACGGACGGGTCAGCGCGTGAGGCTTGGGGTGATTCAGTGCTGTAATCACACTGTTGTTCAGTTGAACGCAAAGGAATTGTAGTGCGAATAGCAGGAGATTCACTCAACAATCATGTGGTTCGATCTCGACAGATGAGAGGTGTGGAGGCCGTCTGCCCCAGCGCTGAGAAGCCCAGGACCTCGCTCAAAGAACTTCTCTGCATCATTCGGTTCATATCACATATAACCCACTTTTTGAAGACAGCTTCCAATCCATTCGAGACACGAAGTCGGCATTCAGTCTCTCAAATTCGTAACTCGTGGGCTCGTTTCATCGCAAAGACAACGCACGAAGCATTGCCCCTGGTCTTGTATCATTCTCTCGTTGTATCATTCTCTCATTGTGCTCGCGCACTGACCTGCTGCGGGACGACGTAGAGCGGCTGCTGCTTGCGGCGCAGCTTGTTGACGTATTTGGCCATCTTGGGCGTCGCGCCCGCGCTGACCGGCAGCAGCACCTCCGCGTAGTTGCGCTCCAGGGCCGCCAGGATGCCGCGCTCCACTTCGCACAGCGCCTGCGGCAGAACGCGACACGTGTCAGTACTAGTGGCGAGCATTCTTTGAGACTCGTGACGAGAAGGACAGCATCAGTCGCCGAAGGCTCGGGCTATGAACGGAGGAAATGAAACGTTTCCAGTTTTTCGATCAACCAGGCGCAACAAAGAGAAAAGGCTTGCAACATTTGCTGGAGCGTGCAGTGTCGTTAAATGTCAGTGTCTCTGTGATTCTCCAGATAACTACCACGATACGACTTGATGCTCACACGCATCTTACACCCCCATGCTTCCAACGACAGCACAAAGAAAGCCGGGACGCCAGGACCGACTTTGCCGTCCCGACTTCTTCCCGCATTCTAACCACGTGGGCTTCAGCGCTGACGGGCCTTACGTTCTCGAGGGTGACGGCGTACTGCGGCCAGCGGGACACCACGCGCTCGTAGTCCTGCAGCGCGTCCTTGATGCGCGCGTACATGTCCTCCACGAACGGCGCCGTGCCGTTGCGCTCCGACACCGCCGTGGGGGCCACCGCCTTCGGCTTCTCGCCCTTGCACAGGTCCAGCAGCTTCAGCCGAGTGTCCTGGATCCACACCTGGAGAGGAGGACAAGGGGATACGGGTCTATCGTGGATGCCCGCGTGACGACAGTACGAGCAGAGCCGCGAACGCCTTGTGTTCTACGACAGGTGCAGAGGTATATGGTGAGCGTACTGACACCGAGGAAAACACATAAGTTGGTGGCTCGGGAATGGAGAGCGATATCAGCAGGGTGAGCGGACTAGGCCCAGTCCTGCGGTTCGAAGTAAGTCCCAATCCGCCTCATCATGGCGTAAGCAGAAGTTTCGGACAAGCGCACAAGCAGCGTAACGAGCTTGAGCGACAACGCACGGTTTCCACCGATTCCAACACTGGAAAAAAGAGCACATTTCAAGACCCTTCAGGTAAAGATGTCGCCATCCTCGATGCTCCAGGAGACAGAGCTCTTATTACGACGATGCTAGCCCTCAGGATGCACGAAACCTCCGGAGGACAGCTAATCCTGCCAACAGGATGCGCTCCCGCACCTCGATGTAGTCGCCGAAGAGGCCGAGCGCGCTGACCCCGACCCCGGGGGAGCAGTGGATGCCGCGCTCCTGCAGGTCGGCCTCAAAGTCGGCGACGGCGTGCAATAGGTCCACGCAGGGAGGGGATGGCGCCGGGGGGGGGCACGCGCTCAGGAACGCGCGCAGCTTGGCGCCCAGCTCCAGGTTGTAGATGTCCGCGCTGATGCTGGGCAGGTCGATGGAACTGCGGCGAAGAAGAGCGGGAGAGTAGGATGAGACCTCGAATTGGAGCGAGATCTTTCTTTGTGATTGATCCGGATGCAGACATACGACGTCGGATGTGATGCGAGCAAAGAACTGAGGCGATACAGGTGTTCTGACCACCAGTCGGAGGTCTTAAAACCAGAAACGAGTGCCCCTGCCAACAGAGGCATTGAAATCCAGCAACGTCGAAACGACGGCTTCGATGCACAGTCCGGCGACGCCCGACAGGCTGTACATGTCCAACTCAATTTAAGAAAAGAGCCAAACACACATAGAGGAAAGTGCATGTTAAAACGTTGTGAATATCCTTTGGTCTCCTTGGGCACACAATCCGGCCTGGCAGCTGACCTGGGAAAGATGTTTTGTTTGTGGATCTCGATGTCGAGCCGCACTTCGCTGCCCAACTGCACACACAAAGCGCGCATGCGCGCGTACCCCGCCGCGCCGTCCAGCTCCGACAGCTCGGGCACGCCGTCACCGTCCGACAGCTGGCACCGCTTGCGAGCCGCGACCTGCCGGTGAGAGAGGGCAGCTGTCAGAAGGATTGGCAACAGCTTGCTGACGTCAAGATCCGTGCTCGTGTGGGTTTCACCAAACGACGACTTCAATGGGTTGACTAAAATTCTGCTGGGCAGGTCACTTTCGAGCGAGCGCAAAATCTTCGTAGCCATTCCTTCCACGAGCCACGGGATGCTAGAGCGACTGACCAACCGACGAGAGGGACAAACAAGTAGAATACACGCCTTTGTGCTAAGCATACTCTAATCGTTCCAAAAACCCAGTAAGACAGAGCCTTCTTTCGCAGGCGTGCCTGGCTGTCTCTTCCGTCCAAAGATGTTTGTGCTCTTCAAGGATTCCTGCCGAGTAAGACGAGCAGCTTTTTTTTAATGGAAAGCAGGTCTTGTTTCGACTTCTTGCTCTCTTGTTGTGTAGGGCACGCCCAACTTTGCAAACCCTTTTCCGATTCCGCACTGCCAATGAAAGATTCGGTGCTAGAACCAAATCTCTTACGCACATAGACGACTGAGGCCTTTAAGACAGCGCTGTTACCTGGAGGTGTGCGCGCAACGTCTCCTGCACTTTGACCGCCAGGATGTCGTGCAGCAGCGCGTACAGCTGCACCGCGGGCGCGAGCGCGGGCGCGGCGGACCCCGCTGACGTCGGCTGGTAGTTGGGCGTCAGCATGTGCGCCTCGATGACGCCTAGCGGCGCGTCCTCGTCCAGCGACTTGTAGTGCTCGAACGTGTACGCGAGGAGCGCGTTCGCCTGGTCCTCCACCGCAGTCAGAATGTGCCGCTGCGCAGAAAAGGTGGTTAAGTACGGAACTCAAATATGTAGAGGGCAGCCTTCCTACAGCACGATTGATGTATACAACACAGGACAAGGAGGGCAGACATATCGGACGAAGGTCCAAGCTTGCTATAGTCTGGAGCGCTTGAATGAATGTTGACAGAAATGAAGACCTCTGCGGATCCGGAGAGTGGAGATTGAAACAGAGTTCAAGCCTCCTACCGTCGTGGCACCCGTAAAAAAATTGCTGGACCGGCATCTTTGACCAAGTTGTTCAGAAAGAAAGGTTGGAAGTAATGCATTTTCAGCTGCAGTTGAGAATCCATGAGTCCGTCGCAGTTCCGCTTTCGTCCATTTGGTTAAGCTCCTTCCCGCTCACCTCTTGCCGTGTTAGCGCGTCGTCTGCGCCGGCTTGCAGCACGGGTGCCAGCAGCTCGTGGATGAGCTCCAGGCAGTCCTTGGTGGGCGTCGCCACGTGCATCACGTGGGTCAAGTACCTGTGGCAGCGACGGAACTCTGTGATCGCTCAGGGCATGCCTAGTACGCGTTTCCAAAAGAGATCACGCACTAAGCACAAGACCACAATCATCAAGGTTCGCCTCTCGGAGCTGTATTTGGACCACCCCACCAACTCCATGGATTTGAAACAGCACAACTGACAGCAAAAACGGCCGAAGATCATGCCCGTTGACCAAAGAACCGCAGGAGTCGCCAATCCGGTGTCGAGTTCTTCGAAAGTTGGAGGTTCAAGGACAATAAATCTGCCACGTTGTGTCCTAGGACGTGGCCCCCACCTGAGGCGCGTGTAGCTGTCGCTGACTCCGTAGTAGAGCGCAAACTCGTCGAGCAGCCAACGCCAGGGCCCGTACAGCTGCAGCTCGCGCTGCCGGAACCCGAGCGCGCGCAATACGACCCCCACCAGAATATCATAAGCGGCCGTCTCGCTGGTGGGCTGCCACTTGGCGGCACCAGGGCCTACGCCCGCCAGCGTGTAAATGAGCGACAGCTGCACGCGCCCGATCATCTCCGCACGGTTTTCCAGGCCGTAGAAGTGGACCCACCGCACGCGCGACGCCTGTGGACGGGGAGAAAAGACGGCTTTGCTCGTGCTGAAGTCGGGGTGAGGTCGGGGTGAGGTCAGAAGTCCAACATAGCTCTCCGTATGTTCTTACGTTCGCTTGCTCGAAAGGAAGGCTTTGAAAGCGGTGGGAATAGACGTCACTCTAAGCGAGCACGTGACAGGCCGTGGTGTAACATCTTCCAAGCGCAATAACACAAAGATAGCAGCATAAGGGATCAGAGGACCAACGTACGAGACCAATGACCTCGGAGCAAGCTACGCAATTGTTTTCCCGACTCACAGCTACTCAGCTTTGAAAATCATCAGGGCCTGAGTGAAAGTTGTGCAGAAGGTGGGCCACTTTGATACAATCTGGACGAAGCCTGCGCCGACCCGCCCTGTCCGAATCACGCCACAGTTGCTCACCGGCGTATCGTCCATAGATGCCAGCGGCACCGTGACCACTCCCTTGACCTCGCCCTTGGCATCCACGATGTCGAGCACCAGATCGTCCCCGGGAGTCTCTGGCAATCTGCACACAGCGGCATGTCACCCCGTGTCACAAACTTGCTAGACTCTTCGGCAGCAAAACGTCGAAGACCATCTTTCTTTACACGCTCTTTGGAAGGAGACTGCTCCCGGCATACTGGGACCTCGGATCTCGAGTTATGTGGGCCTTTGGAGGAAGAACCGTTCTTTTACGCCCTTTTCATATCTGTATTTTTCGAGTCCAGGTTACCTGCAACCGTTTGCAACCGGCTTGCGAGGAGGACAGGGGTGAACGATATGAACCATTTACCCAATCGAGGTATCCGTACATACTTGAGTGAAACGGAAAGGAAACGCGGAGCGGGGAATAGCGAGGGGCTCACAGTTTGTACGTCTCCCCCGTGCCTGGCTCCACCTTGATGGCCTTGTCCGGGGGCACGCTCTTGAGCCGCAGCAGGCAGAACAGCTGCACCGCCACCGCACCTTGCGTCGTCTGCGATGCTGACGTCGGGGAGTCCTCCACGTCCGTCCGGTGGCTGTGGCCGGCCGTGTCTGCAGTGCCCGCTGACACTGGAGGGTTATAAAGGCAGAGTGATGTCAGGCTTGTTCCCTCTAATACCTAGTCTGGTTAACCAACAAAGTCGCTTCACACCTAACGATGGGTCAAGAGGTCCCGGAGACAGGTAAGAGGGCCTCGATAATGCTGAGACTTGTAAAAGAGACTCGAAGATGCGTGCCTGAGAACTCTCTGGCAGTGACCTCTTGTATACTTAAGCCGATTAGGTGCTGTAGTCAACACAGCAGATGCCGGACACACAGTCCGATTTTTCAATGGAAAGACTTTCATGAGCAGGAAATTCTGTTCGCCGAGCCATGCGGAAACAGCGTCGTCAATTCCTCTACCAAACAACTCCGGTGATTAAGAAACGCTCACGTTGCGACGTCGATGCGCCCTCGCTTGTCTTTGCGCGGTGCACCCACGTGGACACCTGGCGCATGTACTTGCTCCCCGCGCGTGCGCTAGCCTTGGCCACCTTGCCTGTCAGCACGGCCGCTTTCTGCGACACGCTGCGCTCCTGCCCCAGCTTGATGCGCCGCACCTGGACTTTCAGAGTCCCGACCACCGGCGCACTTTGGGCGACCCCGCCCGTGGCTTTGTCGGGGACCTTGCGGCGCTGATGGGCGGGCTGCAGCAACACCTGGTCCAGCCTAGAAGGAAGAAGCAGGCCGTGTGAGCATCTCGACAAGGGCTTTGAACGGGTGGACTAAATTCTCTGCACTAGAGGGAGCAGCTGGAAGGAGAGTTCTCTGCAGTTATAATAACGTGAGCATCGTAGGGCCGACTTGCTTGGAGCGTTTTGTGAAAAATGGTGGACGAAGCGGACCAATACCCCTGTTGAAGGCCGGTTCAGAAAGTACAGGAGTTGGTTCGAGGAAAGGCTTTCGATTTGCGAGAACACGGTCTCATCCCTGTGAATCGGCTATTTCCGGAATGTAATTCGCCGGTTGAAAGCCAATGCGCCCGCGAGCAGTCTCGGCAAGCACTATTCACGGTCTCAAAAATACAGAAGGTCGAACAGTCCTTTGTTGGCTGACAGGGTGAAGAAGGCATTGAAGGCTCAGAACATCCAGTATTGCGAAACGAGCTGAAGCCAACATCCACATTTCTGGACCTTCCGGAGACCAGAGCTAAGATTCAAAGAAATGGAGCCAAAGCCAGCAGTTTGGCACACAACGGACTCACCCGAAGCTGGCACGCAGCAGCTCGCAGCCGTCGTGCAGAAACTGATGCGCCTCCAGGCAGCCGCGTGCCGACCCCACCAGGCACAGCCGCACCACCGCATCATACGTGACCACTGCCTGCCACGCCTCGGGCCCGTTGGTGTAGGCAAAGGCGTCGGGGGGGCCGCTGCTCGAGAGGGGCGAGTGAGCGCCCTCAGCCATAGCCATGGCGGCTTCATACCTGGATCAGTGAGGGAGAGGCGGGGTGAGGACAACGAAAGAGAAAGTTAGAGGGGGCTTGTGAGAACAAGGAAGGAGTGGGATTGAAGGGGGGGAAAACGTGACAGTCAAGGAAGATGATGTATCAAGCACGAAAGGTGCAATCAAGGAAAGAACGGAGTATCCGATGTGTTCCAATTAAGCAGCTCGGATATGATGTTTAGATACCACAGTAATGGCTGTTATGCATCAACTGAGCACCCAAATGATATCGTGATATGTCTTGTTTGGAAAGGAAGGAGGGTAGTCACTCAGTCAGATCTGGTCACCACAACCAGCTTCAATCTCCTTGACCGTGTCTTGGTGACGACGAAGTCGGCACACCACATCGAAAGGATTTCACTCCAAAAGTCACACCTCTGAGAGTTCTCCTCAAATCCACCTGACGCCGCGGATGTCCAATCTGAGCCCAGCAAGGCCATCAGAGAGTCCTTTGGCATCTGCAGAAGCGAAATTCGGACTGGCCCCTTCCCAAATCTGTGCATCACCGAAATGGCTCACCTTTTGGTGCGTCCAGGTGTCGTTGGCTCCTGCGATGGTGACCATGTGGCCGAATGCAGATGATGGATCGGACGGGTTAGCACCGGCATCGTCGGAACATCTGCAAGCGGCCCGGGGGGGGATCCCGCATCCTCCCCAGAATAATCTGCCATGGGTGGAGCTGACGGGGGATGTTCCGAATGCGTTTGGTCCGCTTCTTCTCTGGGCTCCGGCGTCACGCTCCTGCTCCGCGCTACGGTGGTGATGTCACCATTGACGTTATGGGCAGCACTGGTGGTGCCAGGGGTGGGGGGCTCGGAGGCGTCTGTTGACGCCAGGCCGCTTGGGTGGGGATCCATACTGGGGGTGGTCATGCCCGTGGCGTGGCTATGGGACACAGTGGTGGTGTCAGAGTAGGGCGTGCTCACGGTCGACCGGGGCGTTCCCCCTGCAGACTCCGGCTTCTGCAAAAAGTAGGGCCTCTCCCAGGGACTCTCCTCTTCTTCATCTGGCCCCCTGTTCTCCCAGTCAGGTCTCCGCACCGGATCCCCGTCCGCATGCTCTGGATCTCTCCTCCTGCTGCTTGGAAAGTCTGGCCCGAAGCTGTGGCGGTACGCCCGGACGCTAACCACAGGGGACCGCTCCGCACTGCGCCCGCTGCCCTCTGCGTCCTCGTCGAAGGTCTGCTCCACATGCACTTTGTAGGGGGACGCTTCGTCGTCCTCCGCCACCGCCCCCGCTTGCCGCATGCTGCTCCTGCGCTGCCAGAGCGCACGGTTTCGAATCGCGTCCAGGGCCCACCGCGAATGCTGGTCCGGCCGCCCTCGCTTGCTCTGTACAGGGCCGCTTGCAGCATCATCATCTGAATCGATCTCTGCCTCCCCCCTGGCCTGCTTCTCTGACTTGTTGCCGGTAGATCCGCAGCTCTCGGCACCCCCCGAGTTGCCTGGCAGGGCCGACAGTGGTGAGACACTGCTTCGGGGGCTGGCCCCCGTGTAGCTAGGGACAAAGTGCTTGGACAGGGGGACACTGGGGAGACCTGGGATGGGGCTGTTCTGGTTGCTGAAGTCCACCGAGTCTTGGGGTTGCAAGGGTACCGGCCCGCGGTGCATGCCCCGGGGGCTCTTGGGAGGCGTCGGAGGCAACCCGGCAGAGCGGCCCGCCAGATCTGGGGCTTGCTGCCGCTGCCGGTTGTTTGATGTCTGCAAAACATGAGGCTATGGATCGGTGCACTTCATAAATAGGAAGAGTGCGGCAAGCCCCTGACTGGTTTGGACTCTGCTTTGAGTGAAGGTTTTTAACCAGTACCCCATGACTGGCCAGATTGGAGTCGGTTTCCACAACAATTGCACACTGGATAAACCAGAGAACTATATTACAGATCTCCTGCATTGAGGCCTCTTGACATGCAGCATGACCGGCCACCTCATTCTGCAGCAGAAAGGCCAGAATATCGCAACTGGTGATCTATTTAAATGCATTTTCACGGGTTTTGGCAAATGACTGCCCCTGTAGTTGTTCACAAGGTGGTGCCAACGGGTCAATGTCCACCTAGTCACCAATGCCGTCCGCTGGCAACTGCCACCTTTCTTGCATGCTGGGTAGACAGCAGGTTCAACGCCCGTGAGTTTAAGCAGGCGTGGGGTTCAGTTGACAGCCTGAGGCGCTGTCCAAAACCTTACCTTGCGGACCCATTCCAGCTCGTTCTGGTCGAGGCCGTCAGTGAACATCATTTTGCCTCCATATAAAGGCAAACTTCTGTCAATGCTGGGAAGAGACGGCCATTAACTTTTCTGAAGAGCAACTTGCGGCTGCTGCCACTTTGTTGATGACGCAGGTGCCTGGAGAAGTCCCGTGTGCTTGAGGTCGACGATGCTTTAAGTACTTCAAGATGGCAATCTGAGAATTGTGATCTCGGAATCCTAAGTGCTCAGCTCCAAAAGTGTTTTCTCCACACTTTCTCCACCACCGATATCTCGCAACAGCTGACCACTTTCAGCTGCACAATCGCTGCACGACAATCAAGTGCCGCCACTTGCAAAGTTGAGCTAGGCAAGTAATGAAAGACTAGTTCTACACTTACGGTACATCAGGTTGCCATGACCTTGTCTCCTAAGCTTTTAGGTGTGGCGTTCATCACGAATGCACATGTACGTTCTGCGTCATGTCCAGCAGCCAGCTGTGGCCAGCGCCTCTGGCCTTCTGGCAGATTGCAGTACCGTCTGTTCTGGCTGCAGCTTCTGCCCGAGTCTGCGAGTCTTCAAGTCCAGACTCAGAGTGAGATCTGAATCAAAGAGTTCAAGGAAGACCCAAGTGCTGCATCATCATGGGCCGCAGTTGACTCCAGTTGACGCAATGTAGAGCTAGCCGTTGTCAAGCCTAACATCGCCACCGTCCGATCGTCTATATCAGCTAATAACAGCTTGCGCGCGAGCAAGAAAGGGGAACGATGGGCGAAGTGACGTAACCTTGAGAGTTTCGGTGCTGCCACGTATACGAAATAAAAGTAGCAGGTTGCGAACCGTCCGATTAGAGGTTCTGCTAACTCGCATAGCCGCGCGCGGCCGCGCGGTCACAGCCGCGGCGCCGCAGCTTCGTCACTATACCTGGCGGCCCCGAGCTAGGCTCTATAGTCATACACGGTACGTATACCGGAGCCTGCGCTCGTGCACCGTCCGGGGCGATCGGATTAATCGGAGCTAGCTGGCGAATCATGCGGTACGTGAGTAGCAGCAATTCGCGGCCAGAGCGAGGCTGCAACGCGTCCTAGCCGGGAATGTTGGGAAGCATGGCTGATTCCTTTGACCCTAGAGACCGACGGCGCGGTACTACGGTACATCGTCACACGGTCGAGGATGGGATTAAGCTAAAAGCTTGCCTTGCGAAATCCGCGCCATCATCCAGGCTAGCGATTGCGAGTATTGGTACCTGGCATGCAAGGACCCGAGCCTGCATCAAAAACTTTGGTGACCAAATTTCAAAGAGCTTGGGGCTCTCAAAAAAGCGGAGCGGCAACGAATCACCATGCACTGATTGTCATTCAGACTCGTTTTCAGCGTATTACTAGTTAGTTTCCGGGGAATCTCCATCAAGAATGCCGTCGAACCTCAACTTGAATGGCCATGCGGCGCGGTGTGGTGGATGGCCGTTGACGTACACAGTCCAACCGATAAAAGGGTGGGCCGCACACAGATAGGATCTACCCATTGTCATGTCCTGCGTCCACTCATGCATGAGCTGTAGTCACCAAGACTCAAGTGCACACTCTTTACTGCATGCTAGAACCATGTAAGGTCACATAAAGAATACTTACCAGATGCATAATAGTAGACGCCATCATCGTTCATGAACCTCAGATAGAGCATACGGACGATTGTTTTTAGCATAAAGTATCCATACGGCGTCAGGCATCAAGGCAAGGACAAGAAGACTCGTACACACGTCCTTTGCAAGATCCACCGCCGTACAATTGCGAACGTTTATTTTTCACAGTCGTCCGCAGTCTGAAGAATGTTTAAAAGAGGATGATCATGTTGAAAATGGTTTAGCAACCGGACTTTGGTCGCAGATGAAGTCCCGAAGGTGGCTGTTGAATACAATGCTGGAGCAGATCGACAAACCGGCAAAGACTCTGCCTGGTTGTAAAGTTTACTCGAACGTTTTAAAAAGACGAATTCGATAGAGCGGACTCCCAGCATTCAAATGGACAAGCTGGAAGTCGCCATTGGTCAACACTGTCAACCTGGGTTACTGTTCAAGTACACTTTTGCTTCACTGACAGGTATAAGGTAAACTGCACGCACTCCACGCCTTACTTATCTTGATTCAACCTGATTGTGATGCTTGCTGCGACCAGCGCCGCATGAGATGATGCCGACAGGGGCAGTCCCCTCTTTCTGCAAGATGACAGCCGTGAATATCAACGACTCAGGAAGGCAAGTCATCCTTCTGCTCAACATTGCCTCGTAAGAATAGCAGCTCCTTCAAATGCTTCAGCATAGTTAGTCACGAATTCCCAGGCTTCAATGAAATCGTTTAGAGCATGGTTCCGTGCTTACTCTGGTGCTCCGACGGTTTCACTCGTCTCATCCAGCTCCTGCTTCAACTGCTTCAGCCGATCCCCGTTGACTGTGCCCAAAAGGAGATCAGCCTGCGGTGTGGAGACGTAAACTTCAGGATTTCCATTTCGTATCTGCAACATAGAGCCAAGTCGACGCACAGGGGATAAAAGGTCCCCCCCTACTGTTTCGGTGGCAAGCTCAGGACAACAGAATCTGGCGGGGCACTTACGACTCAATTGACAACCGAGCGGACGGAAGGATGGAGTCGGGGCAATGTGGATACAGCAAATGCGGAACGGCAGAAGCGGGGGAAGAGAAAGGGTGCTGAGAGGCCTGCCTGTGCTGCATGTGCCACCAGGAGCGAAAGCTCGTCGGGGGTGCTGTGGCGGCTGCTCAGCATCTTCTTGACATTCTCTCGGACTGCTGTCAGCAGATCGCACGCGGTCGCCTTGCGCCCTTTTTGTTGCAAGACTTTCACAGCCTCGGACCCCTGTGCATCACCGAGGCGAGTCTATACGAGCTTCCTCTGTGACCAACAAAGCATCCGGACGAAAGCGGGCCAGATTTTTCTTCGAAGTCAGACGGATACTCCCATAATCCTTCTCAAACAAGACCTGCTCGTTAAATTAAACTGCTTCTTATGTTGACCAGTTTGTGCTGCGAACTTGATTTGACATCTGAAAACCGCCAACAAAGGTTTGAAACACTGGCGGCAGAATGTCTACATGGCACGCACCTTCGGACAGATGGCAAGGAAGTACTCTATGATGAATCGCAGCTTCTGCTCCGGGCTCAGCATTGTCTGCAAAGGAAAGGCACCATGTTTATTTGAGCCAGGCAATCTGAGCTACTCGACTCTTCGCCAAAAGGTAGCCCCTACACAGGCTACAGCAAACGTGGAACGTGGTTGAAATGAAGCTCGTCAAAAAATGTCGAAGCTGATAGAAAATGAGCTAGAGAGATGTCACGAATTCCACGCCGGACGAAGTCGTCCTGTACGCCCGCAAAGCTCCTCGATCTCAAAAACAATGACGAGGCGAGTATCCGCATCAAGCGTCTCCACTTCAATAAGTGTACGAACATTCGGCAACCGACGGCAGCATGTCAACAGGGAGCTTACCTCGAGGAAGTGTCTCTGCGTGTCCCACCGTGGGTCCCAGCATCTGTTGGGGTTGAACTCCGTGATCATCCTTTCCAGAAGGTCCTTCCTGGAGATTTAGGGGCTCTTTGATGAGAATCCCCGAGAAGTCTGACAATCACAAGCCTCAAGGACAGTTTCACAATATACATGCTTGTGTGCGGGATATTGAAGATACTCCGTCTACCAGCCTTTCAATACGAGCTTAGAAGAAAGCGTCAACGCCTTGTCGGCAGGTGAGATCCCAAGAATTTCAGAGACGCTCAACGCTCCGCTGAAATCTCACCTCGTATCGTTCGCCTTCCACAGATTGACGTGATTCTCCATCGTAGCAGTCAGCTCGAGCATCTGCAGAAGTAGACTCGGTCACGTCTATGGTGAAGTGGACGCGGTCACGTCTATGGTGACAGATTAGAGATTGTGCTGCTCGCCGGGAGCCACGAGATGCTTGACCGAACAACTTTCAGCTTTCAGAACTCTCTCATGCAAAGCTGTCAGCACAAACTCGACCTAGCAAAGCACCAACTCCTAGCGAGACACGGTACATAAAGAACGTGGTCCGCTTCATCGCTTGGCCTTGAGATGCGCTTTTCAGAGACAGACAAACTTCCTCTCTGTTTCTTCCGTTTCACATTCTGGAGCAACGCCAACCACCAGCGGAATGCTCGTTATGCCCTTACCGACGCCAGCAAGGTCTGGGCTGTGGTGCACAAGTCCTGCCGGGAGCAGCTCAGCCCGTGCTCTGCTGCCGTATCGTCCCGCCGCTTTTGGAGCGCAGCATCGAAAGGCGTCTCAACCTCGACCTCGACCTGGCTCGCTTTGCTGAAGGTAGCCTCCTCTCCTCGCTGGCTGACCGTGGCCGTGCTCGAACGCCGGCCCTTGCCCTTCTTCGTCTTGCCCTTCTTCGCAGTTGGAGTCTGCGACTTGGAAGGATTGCGTCAGAAACTCTGGCAGCGTTTCCGTGGAATCAAACTCCTGAAAACAAGCAAATTAGCACCTTCTGCGATGTCGAATGCTGTTACCTGCAGGTCAGAGGAACTTTGTCAAGACTCTCTTTGGAGGTTTACCTTTGTGTTATAAGTTAAAGATGGCCACTAGCAAGAAAGCCCCTAAAGTCCGACTGCCAGCGCTTTTGTATGTCGTCTGCAATCAACTTACCCCAGAGGCTTCTTCGGTCTTTGCATCGATTTCCATGTCGTCAGTGCCCTCGCTCTTGGTCGGAGCTGTGCTTGGCGCAGGCACTTCCTCTGCCCGCTCGAGCACCCCTGCTTTGATGATGGCAAATACGCAGCTCCAAACTTGGTCGCGCTGTGGTTTGGTCCTCCGCTGGAAGCAAAAGTACATTTCCAGTGAAAACAGCATCGCTTGAAGATAACAGACACAGAAGTACTTGCACCTGACCTTTTCCGAAAAGTCCTCGTCACAGTCTTCAATGAGACCCGAGTCTTTAACAACTCTTAACCAGTCTCATATTGCCACCAATTTTGGCATGTTTTCCTGAGATTGATCCGTGCTGACAGAGAGCGCGGATGCAGGTATGATGTTTTACCTCAATCAACAAGCGGTACAGCATGGAGTTGACAAGGATCGCGAGGTCGGTTCCACAGTCGTGTGCTGCATGACAGGAAGGCGAGTGAACGGTTACAACATGTTGAAGCAGACTCGCTTAAGCTTAAAGTTATCAAAAATAGGGAGATTCCGGTACTTGAGGTCAGCAGAGTCCATGGCACAGCTTTGGGTACCAAGGTCATCTTATCTCAGATGTTGCAAAAAGAGAATGTATCACATATCCTTGCCTGTTCGAGTTGCGAATGTCCCATCACATGCAGAATCTCGATTCAGTTCAGAAAGCAAGATTCATTGTGCAATAGGCTCACAAGCACACGCCATTTGTGTAGGCTCCCCCGCTATCCAAACTCACCTCTGTACACAGCCAATCTGCAGCTAAGGTCGTCATAGAGGAGTGCCACGAGATACTTGAACATCAAGCAGCTTCCCAGCTTCTGCAAGTACAAGCACAGGTCGCTCGATTTCAGTACAAGGAACCTGAAGGATCTGTGTCCAAGTCAGCAGAAAACTTGTTCATCAAGTGCTGCCAAGTGCTATCGTTTGGTCTCTTTGACCAAAAAACAGATGTTTGATTGGCTGTGAGCTTCCGGTGGATCCAGGATGACAGGATCGTGGTCTCCAAGCCTGCTTTTAATAAATTTGTATCATGATACTAGGCCCCAATTCGCTGGCCTTAAACAAGAGTGGATAGTCATCTCATGCTGGAAGAAACCTATCATAAGGCTAAGAGCCAACTTCATTGCACAGATAAATCACCTGTACAGCAAGTGCCTCAGTAGCTTCAAGCCGGGCCTGGTGTTTGCCAGCCTCGTCCAACTCAGCGCCATCAGTCTGTTTCTTTGTCTTGCGGCTCCTCTGGCTTGGAGCAGCATCAAAGGCAAGGGCTTCACTGTCACCCTTGAGGTCCTCCACGATATGATCCAGCACCTCAAACAAGTCCTGCACAAGACAACCGGAGCCAAAATCATGCTAGCGCGGAATTCTGTATTTGTGGGGAAGCTATGATTGCTCGATTGATGTCACAAGGGAGATCTCGACAGCAGAGTGCTAAGGATCTTCAATGTTTAAACTTACCCCTGGTCGGCCTACTGTTCCATCAGCATTCAGCCGCGGCCTTGCGCCTGCCCTTGGCAGTGGAAGTGCACTGGCTGCAGCAGCTGTTCCCCGCAGTGGTGTCGATCCAGGAAGGGCATCAAGCGGAGTCCAAACCTGGCAGAATTGGAGATGATTGTGAATGGCATGCCCGAAAGCAAAGGCGCTAATGTGTACAAGTGACTCTGTAATCAAGGCAAGATTAGCGTTCCGATCTTTTCAAAGTTCTGTGACCGAAAAGCTATCCTCGTTAGCGTGCATGAGAAGAAAGAGGCTGCTTACCTCCTTGTCAACTTGTAGGTATGGGAGTTTCTGGCCAAGCTTGTCCCCTGGCAACACCATTGTGGCAGGGAACTTCTGCTGAAGCTTCTTTAGTAACTCATATGCGCGTACCGACAGCTTTGCAGAGCGGTTCTCAGTAATACTGAGCAGGATACTTGTGAAGAGCTTCCTGCAGCAGACACCGTACAGCGTCCTTCAGAGGTGGAAGTGCGTCTGGATACTTTGCAAACACAAAGCAGAGATTACAAGAAGCACAAACCTTCACATATGCAAGCGGCTTCGTCAGCATCGATCAATATTCAAGGTGCGTCGTCTTACTTAGATGGTAGACCTCCTCCCTCTTGTTGCGCAAGGGATGATATGGCGTCCACCAGCTTGTGCTGGTCCTCCTGAATGTCTTCAACATCCCCGCCCTTCTGAGCTTCCGTGAAGGCCGTAAATGTATTCTCGTGGAACTGTTTGATCACATGGCTATTATCGCGCTCGATCTCTCTGACGGCCTTGACCACCTCCTCCGTGGCCTCTGCGCTTTCCTTTTTCTGCTTTGCTTTCGCCCACATTTGGGTGATATCCTGGCCTCCCTGCAGCATTGAAGGACAGTACAGCAGATGATCAGGCAAGTGCCCATCAAGCACTTCATTATATACTTTACTGGCCAAGAGTTGGTGCTCAAATCTTATATGTGCAATGGAAACGTTACGAAACCTTAACCAATGGTGCAACCTAATCAACCAGAGGAGGAAAGAGCAGGCAAAGCAGAGCTCACATTCGGTCCCTCAGCTTTGCTTGTCCTGCTCCGTTTTGACATGGTCCTTGCACAACTTGGCGTCACAGCACTTGCAGAAACTGTTATTTAGGGTCACGATACCACAATTGGGGCTCAATGCCCAGCTTGGGGGTTCCACGACTCTCGCTGAAGCATGGAACAACCGATAGCCTTGCCAATCACAAGCTGTTGATGAGGACAAAAACTCTGCAATATAAACGTTGCATTTGTAGGGCGCTGGCGCTAGTCCAGGCAGCTACCGCAATCCGGGACGTGCACTTGTGCTCTGCAAAGGACCTGCAGTTGAGTAGGTAGCTGTGGCATGATGCCGCATGAATCGACACTGCGGTTGGTGAAAGAGAAACGTTTCTTCGACTGATCAAAAGACACGCTGGCACCATGATGGACAGGCAGCCGTCACAGGCACAGGGCCAGGCAGGCTGAAGTCCGTCTGGGGAGTTCATACCCCTCGCTGCGCTTCCCGCCAAATCTCCGAATCTGCAGCCGTCGATTTGAATGCGGACGGCATCTGTCCATCCAAAAGTGCGCGTACAATACAAACATGGGCGCAGCGCCGCAAGCCTGAGGTGCAGCAGTGCGTCTCCCTGAAGTTTGCAATGCGGGCCCATTGTCCGACTCCGACGTGGACGATGATCAATTGCAATTCGGCAAAATCTTGCAGAGAAGATGGTCGCACCCAAATGTACATAGGTACGTATCTCGCACGTTCTACCGTGAAGATAGGTCACGCATCATGTGACGCAGCTGTTGTGCTGCGTGTATTGGCGTTGAATCAGCTTTTTTGAAGTTGAGAGTTTTTGGAGGTGAGCCCCATCTTGCCAAGCAAGACAAGGTGGCGCACAACGTGCCATGGCTCCACCTGAGGCAGGAAGCAGCGGTCCTGCCATGAGCTCAAGGGTTCTGCGGTCGACCCCTTCTAGAATGACTAGAGACAAAGCCGTGAGCGACAGCGAGAGGACCATGACAGGGCAGGGGGAGGGGATGGCCCAAAGCCCAACTAGTGTAAGGAAGGGCTTCAAGAATGAGGGCACTCACCCACAACTACAAGATGCAGTGAAGCAAGATCTGTCCTTCTCAAATGCTCTGAGCCAGGGAAGCGACGTGCCCATTCAGACCAAGGTTCGGAAGGTTGGATCCGTGAGGACGTCTCTCGGTCCGGCAGAGAATGCTACTGCCAAGACACTGCTCAAGAGTCTGAAAAGGAAGGAGTGCTCGGCGGGGAAAGAACCTGAGGCATCGAAGAAGGCTAGGCGGTCAAATCCAGGAGTTCGTGTTGTCGGAGGCAAGGTTTACGACAGCGAGAACGGCACCACTTGTCATCAATGCAGGTGGGCGGTTGTTTGAATGCAGTTGGAGCTTCAGTGAGGTGGATCAGCATGATGCCTGCAACCTCAAATAACGTTAAACCCCCTCGTCTCAGGTTATGTTAGCTGCCCCAAAGCCACCTGATGATGGAGTGCCATCATGCCTGTGACAGCATAAAGGGTTTTCCCAGATCTTGATGCAAACATCAATGAAGTTAGCTCAAGTATTTGGCCCTGAAATGCAGGCAGAAGACTTTGGAGCTGACCGCGGTTTGCAAGCAGAGCAACTCGAAGTGCAAGCGGGGCTTCTGCAGCAAGTGCCTCTTTAACAGGTAGGCTTCTCTTTCACCACCTTTATTCCTTGTACTAAAGCGGATAAGGCTGTGCTCTGGACTTCGCAGCCGTCTGATACATTGTTCGCATCGTCGAAATCAAGCTCTAACTCTAAGTAACTGAAATTCCAGAGCCATTGGTCTCTACATCTGTACTGGCCTGCACATTGTGATTTGAGCTCAATGATTTGGACCTTCTAGGTGAGCCCGCGTTCCGAAACTCGCCGCAACCAATCAAAACCTTCACTTGGCACTTTTTGGTGTATTTTGTTCCATCCCCCCATGCCAGAGCCTTAGTGAGTCTATCCCGCAATACTTAATCTTGCAGGTATGGAGAGAAGGTGGAGGATGTGACCCAATTGGAGTCCTGGGCATGCCCGTTTTGCCGGGGCTTGTGCAACTGCAGCAACTGCCGGAAGAAGAAGGGCCTGCAAGCCACGGGCATCCTGGCGCACGTCGCAAAGGCCCAGGGGTTTGTCTCGGTTGCCGCTCTTTTGAAGATCGCCCCAAAGGTGACCAAATACCCTTCCTTGGGCAAGTCGTTCCTGCTTCTGGTTGAGCGGTTTGATAGGACTTTAGGCTCCTGCATTGGAGAGAGGGGCATCTGCAAATCATTGGCAATGTTTGGCCCCTACATGTATATCAATTGGTGGAATGAAGACAATGCTCATAGGGACCTGTCATTTCTGGCTTTGCAGGCAACTCAGCCATCTTCTTCCGAGCGGATTCTCAAACAAACGAGCCCCAACTCTGCTGGTGAGTACACAAAGACAGGCATTTGCCTCCAAGCTACGAGGACCAACATACGAACATCAATCTTAATTGATGCGTATCCTCTGGCCGGGAGAGATGTTCAGCATCCAAATCGTTGCAAGACAGAAGGAAACCGTAACGCTCTGATTTCTGACAGTAATCGGTATTTCGTCACCAGTCTAGTAACACCACCGTCCTTGTTGTCCTGCAGAGATGCCGCATGCCGGTCGCCCTTCCGTATCCACCCCGGCAAAAAACCCTCCCAAGGCGAGGACACTCGATGCGACCAACACCAAAGCCCACTCTTCTCACACAGCCGGTGCCAGGACGCCAAACTCAAATCGGCGCAAGTCATCGACAGCCAGCCCCGCTGCGGAGGCTGCCTTGGCTCTGCCTTATCTTGTGTCGGAGACAGTCCCCGAAACTCCGGAGCCTCTCACTCCCCCAACGAAGAGGCTAAAAGCACCCGGGCTTGGCCTAACCCCTCCCAAACAGCAGGCCGAAGCTCAGCGGTTGGCGGAACTGGGTAGCGGCTCAGATGGCGAGAAAGGAGAACGGCAGGCGTCCCCTGAGGTGGCCCCCAAGGTCGATGCAGGAGTGGTGGAGAAAAAGAAGAGAAAGAGGAAGGCGGTGCTCCCCGTCGAGGCTGTGACGCAGTGAGCCCCCCACATATGCACTGTTTCCAATTGCGGTCCCTTTGTGCCTCTAGCGGTGCCCTATTCTGCTGGCAGGAAGCTCTCAAAGGACGTACTTGACAACGACTCTAGAACTATTCCCTTGGCAAAGATCTTGTTAGAACGTGTTTGATCAGATTGTACGTGTCGTTCCATCTTCCTTTTATTAACCGAGGGATATGCTGCTAAGTGTCCAGGCACATGGCCCTTTGCTACTCCCTGTCCTAAGTCCACATTCGACAGACGACCAAAAAGCTGGTTTATCTTGAGCGGTGCAGCTTTCAGTCTTCGTGCTTGTCTCTCAGAATACTCTTTCTTTCACGGAAAAGAATCCCCGAAAGTGCTCAACTCTCCTGCCCTTCTTCCTTGGCAGGCTGCCTCGCCCCACCTCGTCTCCTGTCGAGACGCTCCACGGAGTGCCCGTCCCTGCTGCACTTGTGGGCGACGTATTGCAGATCCTGGAGTTTCTGGCAACATTCACGGAGGCGATCGACATTCCGCACCTGTCAGAAAGCAAGCTGTTGCACGAGCTGCTCGAAGCGGAAAAGCTGCCCCGAGGGGACCGCTGCATGCTCGGACAGGTCAGTCGAGGCCCTTTTTGTAGTCGGCTCTAATTGACGTAGAAGAAACGTATCAAGCAGTCTGATTCAGATCGCTTCTCGGTTGTCGGAAACCTGAGATGAGTAAGATGAGCGATGGTCCGTCAGATAAGTGCAAAACTCAGCGGGCATTGGTTCAGGCCCTAGCTGTCGACTTTGTTGGCACGGGGGTCCTCTTACGTGGGGTTCATACTAATTGGGCGAAAAGTTATGTTGTGCGGACTTCTGTCAATCGCAGGCTAATGGAACATCGTGGAATGGTGCTGGAAGATTTGTCTGATCGTATGCGGAACGAATGAATATTGCATTGTCGTGTGCTGAACCTGTTTCTGCCTTGAGAAATATAGGAGCCGAAAGCGGCAGCACAAAACACCTTGTGTGATCTCCTTAACAAACGAATTAAATGAAACTCAGAGGTGCACCGCTAAAACGAGCCCTCGGCGTTTTCTTTTGCAGGTCCAAGCTCGGCTGCTGTCTCTGGTGCTCGTAGAGCGGGGCCAGGCGCCCGTGAGCGCCTCACGGTGGCTGCCCGCCCTGCACGACCACGTAAACGCTCACCCCCTCATGCACCACATTCTCGAGCGACAACTGGAAGCCCGCCAGCAGAGCCCAAATGAGAAGGAGCCAGTCGTGGAAGAGACGCCGGACAGGAAGTGTGGGAGTGTGCAGAAATCGAGGAGGGAGTCGGATGTAAAGTCAGTTGGAAGAAGCGAGGAGGAAGGGGATACGGCGGTGAATGGACTGAGCGAGGGGGTGCGGATCTTGGAGGCACTGGCGGATCAGAAGACGGGATACATGCAGCTCAGGTGAGCCAAGACTGGAAACAGGGCCGAGCACTTTTGTTCTTCAAAGTGGCGTTGTCTCTCGCTAACACTGGTTCGTTTGGACGCAGGAAGTGCGAATTTGGTGGACGATTCCATCCGTGCTTGCTTCGAATTCCACATGTCTGCGTTGAGTGGCTCCCCACACACGTGGGTTGCCGTCCGTTCGAATGTCCGCCTCTTGTCCCAACGTTTCAGGGACGCGGTCTCGTCCATTTCGAACCGCGGCTTTGTAGTCGTTCGACTGGCCTAATCCTTTGAACGTGCCGCGACTCAGGCGGACGGTGGGGAGACACGTTCGTCCTGTCATCGCCGTTTCCGACCTCATTAGTTGCTAAGATTGGTTCCTGCGAACTTGGTAGGTGAAGAAGAACCTGCAGATCTCGTCCCAGTGGCTTCGAGCGGATGCTTCAAGAGACAGCTGTGACGGCGCTTCGGATATTTTGGATTCGCTAGAGTCCGCGAGAGTAAACCTGGACTTCTGATCCGCTCGCATCTTTCTCTTTTGGGCACGTCCTTCTCAGCTCTTAAAATACTGAGACCTTCATCAAGTTGCCGTGCGAAATACTGACCGTCAAGGTCCTGACCCGTCCACCATACGGGTGACGTCCGTCCAATACCGACGCCCACTTTACAGCCGACTTAGCCCTCCTCCAAACATCTGCAGTCCTGCCGACCGGGTGTTCCTGCTGAAGCTGCTGTGCGACGACGCCCTCGAGACGGCCGCGGTGCGCGCTGTCATGGAATCCGCCCTTACCGCCGCGGAAGAAGCCGCGCGACGGCAGCGGAAGGACGTGACGACGGCGCGGGAGGAGGCCAAGGAAGCGCGGGCCAAGCTGCGGGAAGTAGAGGTAGGAACGGCCGGGCTTGGGGCCAATAAACGAAGAGCTTGTGAAACGAAAAGGAGGAAATTCTTGTTCACGATTCCGACCCGCTTGGAAAGTGCATTGACGTCGAGGCTAATCGAATTGGTGAACGTAAGCGACATGCTGATACGCTCGACCGCGACCAGGAATAGCGCTGAATAGCTTCTTTCGCTTTTGTACAGCGGCGTCAATCGCTGTACTGCCGCCCTTGGTTCCAATCACGGGTTCGCACGTTTGCAGTAGCTTCACTGGCCATTCTCGAGACGCTGCTCTGGCTTCCGGGGTTACCGCTGAAGAACATGACGAAGAAGAAAGACAACTACCCGAGCCGCTATCCGTGTTTCTTCGCACTTGTTTGGAAGAACGCTGACCGGCCTCGACGGAGGCCTGCCGCGAGACACTTAGAATGAAGTCGACTGCTCTTCCTTCTGCCCCTGTTGTTCGGCCCAACCTCTAACGGCCCTCAGACATGCTGGACCTCTTTCTGTGTCCAGATGGCCCAGCTGCTGGGCTTGAAGGGCGAGCGCACCCCGCTCTCCCCTTCCGCGGAGGAGAGGATCGTAGCGGTTGTGCGCGAGCAGGCTGCGAAGCTCGCCGCCGCGGTAGCTGCAACCAAGCGCCCTGCGAGTGGCTGCCCGGAAGGGGTCGAGTGCCGCGAGATGCGCCTTCCGCCGCTGGGGGGGGAGCCTCGGGGCGTGCACTACTGGAAGCTGGCCGGGGCTGACGAACTTTTGATGACCCAGGTAGCACCTTCTTCCCTAGCATTTTATCCGATTTCTTCAAAAACGAGCAGCCGTGCTGTATACCTTCAGAAAACGCGGTGCTCAGAATTTGGAGCGGGTGGAGCACATTGAAGACATCCTCTGACGGTGCAATCACGAGGAGTACGGAATAGCTGTCAGGGGGTGAACGTGACGCAATACGTTCCACGTCTTTCTGACTCCACGGTGAAAGCTATGCGGGTTTCCTGATTGGAAGAGAAGGGAAGCCTCAAACGCGTTCGCTGCGGGCTCCCTCGATGTGGACCTAATGAGCGCGAAAGTAGCCTCTTTTTGCTCCCTTACCGCTAGGTACTACGGTAGCAGCCCGGGCACCTGTCCGACTGCCGACCTTGCTCTGCAAGGTCTACATACCAGGAATGGTTGTTTACAGCTTGATGCTTGGTATATGAAGCACGATTAATCTCAGGGTTGCACTTCCAAGACCTTACCGCCTTCCTTCCTCCTCTGATGTAGGATATGGCGCCACAGCGTTTGCACGGGGACAGCTGGTTGCAGTCTACTCCAGACGAAATCGCTGCTTATACGACCGAGTTGCGATCGGTTGGGTTTCCGGGGCAGCGCTTAGAAGCAAAACTAAGAGCCGCTTTTCTTGAGGAAGAAGGGCAGGAAGCTTGACTTCGAAGATGTCACGTATGAGAGCCCTTGCACAAGGGGCGCGGCCAACGGTAGCAGTGACGCGATATCTGCACGGCCATTCAATGTTGCAGATTGACTGTACATTCAAACCATCTGGCCTGATGTACATTCAAACCATCTGGCCTGAGGAACTGCAGTGAAGTGTGCCGCTCATTAGTGTTGCTTTTCCTCTTCAATGCACTTGAACGTCACGAAATCAGGATTCAACCTGCGAGCCAACAATCGAGATATAGGTGTATCTTCAGAGTCCTACTACCTGAAATGTACTACACGTGAACATCATTGATTGTCTGCTGCAGCAGATTTCATGGGGATGACAAACCAAATGCTGAAAGATAATAGAGCTTTATTACGTGCTACATTAATTGAATTCAAGCTGGCAGCCGCGACACATAGTGTATGCAACATTGGAGGCCCACGAATGAATGTTATGCATAGCCAGTATATGCGCAATCAAAGGCCGCGCGCGAATTGTCCAGGTTCCAGCCGCAAATTGCATGGCAAGTGCACATGAGCTCTGGCATGCCAAGCCTGGCTAGGCAACCCATGTGGCTTTGCACATGACATTTACCATGTGGGGACATGCATGTGCGATTCAACAATCAATCACACATTTCTCAATCTCGATCAGAAATGGCAGATTGATGAGCTTCTGTAGCACGGTCACGGTTGGGCTGGCCCAAGCAGGATCGCCCGCCGCCGGGTAGCCACCGAGGCAGCCTGCCTTGGGTGACCACTGATCCGCGGGGTGCCAACATTGCATGTCCGTGCTTGTAAAGACCAGTTGGCTATGTGACTTTGTTGTTTATTGCGAGATCAAAATACAATTGCGCAGCTTCGATTTGTCAATCACTACAGACACTCCCCATACCCTGACCATTACGCGAGGTATCTGAACATGTTCGGGTTGTCCTTGTCCCGCTCCAGGTACTCCCGCGAAATGAGGTCTTCGATGCGCTTCTTGATGACCTTGAAGTCGGGCTGCGCGGAAGCAGATATACAGCATTTAGTATCGGATCGATTCAGATGGGAGGTCGCAGACAACGACCCGCGTCATCCGCCGCAGGTTGCATAGCTCAGACATTAAGGTTTCTGATCCTGAGCTGTGTAAGAAAGACCCGCCCACAGACACATTTCACACATCAAGTGCAGAGACCATATGGACTACAGATATACCGGATCTGCAAGCAAAATTCGTGACCCCAAAAAATTTGAAACGTACGGTTTGCGAAGTCCACATTCCTAGCAGACAACTCGGGTGATGGCTGGTCAAGCCCGAACGAGTCACGGCTTCGATAAAGCGTCCTTACAGAGACAAAATCCCTCAAGAAGCTAGTGCGGGAAAAAAGTACTGACAACATTTGGAGACAGCAGCATACGCCTTGCATCGCAAACCTTTACTGCACACGAGAGTCGGCTCTTACCTTGAACATGCGTCCGAGTTGCTCCACACATTCTAGCACCAGTTGCTGATGAGCCAGCACCTTCCTGCTCTTCATGATCCGCACGATAGACGCGTCGATGGCGTATCTCCGATCTTTGTCCACGTCCTCAATGACCTTCTTCTTCTCGTCCATGGCGGGAAGGGGAACCTGATATAAGCAGGACCAGCATGATTGAGCGACAGAGAAGACCACCTGGGTTAACGCCCCATAAGGGCCACAGTGGAAAGAACAGTTTCCTAACAAGAAGGAGAAGGGCGTCGAATGAAGGAAACAAAGAGTTGCTGTTGGACAGAAATCATGGGCAACGGTGGTCACTCAGAGTCTTTCACGAGGCCGAGCATTTCGCCTAAGGAGCCTCGCTCACACCTCTACGGCAAAGCCAGCCCACCTCTTGCGGTATCTCAAAAGCGCCCGCGTAAACTCAATGGTGCTCACCTTGACTCTCCTGAGCGGGTTGGTGAAGGCTGGGTTGAAGGCGAAGGTGTCGTTCTGGCTGATCGTCTTGTCGTTGGGCGTCTTGGACAGGATCTTGAACTTGGCGCACGACAGCGAGTGCAGCAGCCGGATGACGTCCTCGTCCGTGAGGTTGAGCTGGCTCTTGATGTCCGAGTAGCTCAGGCTGTCCGCCGCGTTGAAGAGCAGCAGCACGGACGCCTGGTACGTCGTCAGGACGAGCTCGATGTCGCGCTGCTTGAACTTGCCCAGCAGGTTGCACGTGCCCAGCGAGTAGATCCACGTCAGCTTCCGGTGCTTCGTCTTCGTCTCGTAGTACTCCTTGAACACCTCCACGCCCTTCACCTGCAAGTCACGAAAGCAGAACTGGACTAAGAAAGGGAAAGGTACAGCGCTGGAGGGCACAAAAGTCGCCCGCAAACACCGTGCGTTCCATGCCACAGCATTTGTGAATCTGTTCACCGATCAGGGAACAGGGAATCAACCAAGACACGGAACGTGCACATGACCGTTCAGCAAGCAGGGAACACGAAAACATCGGAAACAAGGAACGTACACATTTTGCTAAGCACAGCCGAAACCCTCCCCGCTGTGCGCTCGCTTTGACATCTTCCTCAGTGCCCCAGATAAAAAAACGCGTAGTGTCAGAGTCTTACCATCTCCGCAGGCAGAGCCAGGTCCGTCGACTTGTAGCTGGGCCAGAAGCCAGTGGTGAGGACAGTGACCGTGAGGTCGATGCCCGGATGCTTTGCGGGGTACTCCAACAGAAACTCCTCAAATGTGGCCTGGTTCTCGCGCGCTAGCGTCAAATCCGTGACCTGTCAGAAAGCAGCCAAAATAAAAGTTACATCGTATTCTTTGGGCGCCCGTCGAGGACACGTGCGGAAACTTCGCCTCTGCTGGTTGATTCGGCGGTCCAAGGCTATTTGAATTCCATACCCAGCGAAAATACTCCGAGCAGTCAGAATACTTCGAATACTTCGAGTACCTCCCTCTTTCTGTACCCTTGTGTCCGCAGAATCCCGCTACAGAAAGCGGCGCAACAAAACCAGGCCACTAGGAATGCGATTCAGAGGAGAGCTGCCTTACCATGCCCTCCATCTTCGACGTGAACTGCCCCCCGCACTGCTGCTTGAGCTTCGTGAGGATGCTCCGCTCGTGGTCGTCGTTTGCACTCTTGTCGAACAGCAGTCGTCGGGCCAGCTTTTTCCTGCCACAAAACGCATCTGATGTAAGGCCAAGGCGGATCGCACATGTTATACCAAGTGATACTATCGAAGCACGATACCCTTTTCCGGGCACAAGGGCCATCCGCTGCCAGATCGCTCAAAAAGAACGTCTGATTGAATCGAGACTGCTCGTTTGGGAACCACAATTTCCCGGTCGGAAGCACAGACCAAGAGGCCGTGTTTAGTACGGGCCTACGAAAGACACTTCATCGCCTGAGACAAATCCAAAGGTCCAACAGCAGAGCAGCGTGAACAGGCGACCTGGCGAGAAGGGAAGCGGACCTGTAGAATTCGGCGAACAGGTCCTTGTCGCTGATGTACGCAAGTAGTTTGACCACCTTCTCGAGCGTGTCTTCGATCTGCTCGTCGCTCAGCTTCTCGCTGCCGCCCTTCTTCAGCAGGTTGTCGCAGAAGGTCGCCAACAGCTCTGCACTCGTGCTTCCAGCGACGCCCTTGTTGCAGAAGACCTCGAAAGCTTCCTTCAGAGCCTGCGAGACGGGCTTGCTCCAGTCAAACGACCAGAACATTCTTTTCTTAGACTAACATCTTCGAATAAGTAAGTCACTAGAAGATACATCCCGCAAACAATTCCGCAAACAATATGAATGCCCAGTAGAGAGATAAGGGAGAGACTAGTGATGCATGGCGAGAAAAGCATGCTAGCAGCAGAAAACGCGTACCTTGTGGAATAGAGAGTGGTTGCTGAAGCAGTCGCCGACGTAATGCAGGTACTTGTCATGCAAGTCGAGGGTTTGCCGCACAAACAGCTGTTCCTGGGTCCCAGGGATGTCCTTCTTGTCCGCCTGCAGGCAACACCACCAGCATACAATCAACTGCCACGCCTCTTACTCAGTCTACGGGTCTTGGCACCGAAAGAGAAAAGCATCCCAATCACTGCCCCGGCTGTCACTCAGTCTTTTGAGTTTTTGGCATCAAAACACAAAACCTTCACTCAGGCCTTGAGTTCTTGGCATCGGACAGAAAACCTTCTGTCCTTGCTCTTGGAGTATCCAAATCACCAGTTCGAGCTCTCACTACTTACCCCACCAAGCGGCCTCGGTATTCGTTATTCCAGGCATGCTTCGAGAGGATCATTCGATCCTACAGCTAAAAGCGAACGAACTCCTTAGCTCAGATGCTCGGCATCGATTTACCATCTGACAAATGTCGAAATTGCCACTAAAAACATTATTAGCAAACAATCTTTTCTGATTTTGCTACAGACGAGAAGATTGTTGCACAGCCAAAAACGCCGCCACAATCTCATCTCGGCTCAGCTCCGTATCGACCAGAAGTCGATCAAGCCTTTGATCCCTCATGCTTGAAGGCAGAGCGAGATGCTTATGCAGCACTACTGAACAAAATCGTTCGACTCTCCTCCCAAGCATGTACTGTAACCGTGCGCTCACCTTTTTGTTTGCCGCAGCGTCCTCTGCTTGCTTCACAAGCGCAGTGCCCTCGTCAGTAACATGCTGGCGGAAGATGGTAGCCACAGGCTCCAAGCCCTTTGGAACTCTGCTGAAGAGCCGGTACATTCTGGACAGGTCTTCCGTCTGAATGAACAACCACGCAGCACGTCAGAAGCACAGCAATGGCGCCACATTATCCTCATGATTTGACAAGAACAGAGGCAGCCCCAGAGATCTGAATACTGTGTTGAGTGATTGAGGGATACAGCTGCGTCAATCCAAACAGCTCAGCCACCTGAAACTTCCCACTCTGCTGGTGGAAGGTCCTACGACTAAATATGGCTCTGCTACGGGGATGCATTGCCGGTCACAGCAGAATCTATGACTGCCCAAAGTTCGAACAACCCGCAATGGATAGACATTATGATTGTCACCTTGTCATCGCGCAGCAAAGCATGAGCTCCTGAGTGCTCCTTCTCCAGTAGCTGATTCTCGTATGTTGTCAAAAGCTCGTGTTGGACTTTCTGCAGGGGACATGAACAAATACACCTTTCAAAACACAATCCACAAAGGCAAACAGATAAAGTATCGGTGAAGGAGGTAAACAGCCAAGCAAACCACTACGAGGCAGGGCATCGCAGCACAGAGAAGGGGGAGCCAATGCGATTGCCACACACGGCATTTGAAGAACAATCTCCACGTCTCCCTGCTCGACAAAGGCAACTTGATAAATACAACGATACCAAAAGACACAAAATCTGACATCTTCCCAATTTTGGGACTCCACAATTGTCAGAGGCCCTTACCTCGAGCAGCTTGGTTTCACTGCTTTGGTGCAAGTAGTGCCCCACCCTCTCCTTCTCCTTCCGTAAGCATTCTTCAGCTTTCCGCATGTAGTCCGGGCACGAATCATCTACAATCCATGTGGAAGCCTTTCTGCTGTAGAATTCCGCCGTGTCAGCCAGGAGCGCAACCTCAAAGTCATGCTCATATGCATCCATTGAGCTCATGCCAATCTCGACAAAGATCCCCAGTACGTTCTTGAGAAGCGCCCTGTCGACTTGCTCTCCTTCCCGTTCCCTGTCAATCTGCAAGGGGCCACAACCGACCCTTCAATACAACTTCAATATCCAGTCAGTCAAAAGATGTCACGAGATTTTGTAGCAAGCCATATGATCATGATTTGCAAAGATGTCGATTTTTCAAAGCCAAAGTTCGCCTTATCATAAGAGCAACCAATCAGCATATGACTGTTGGAGCGACCCTGGAGGGAATGCTCAGTACATAACTTGTGCTCACCAGCGCAATGACAGCATCCTTCACAATAACCTTCATCTCTGAGTACACCTGCATTAAGAGGCCAGCGGTTGTCTGAGTTTTGACAAAGTTGATTACAAGACATGACCAGTGAGAAGAATGGGAACAAACTCAGAAAGCAGGGTAGGTTGAAAGGCTATGCAGCTGCAATCCTCGATTGGACAACATCGACCTAGCACCCGCTCAGGAGACAACGCAAGACCCAAATTAGTCAAATTTGCTCTCTGCTTTCTCCAAAACCCTAGTTAAGATCTCAACCAACAAGAAGAATCCAACGTCTTTGATAGCAGAGCAAGTTTCTATCCAACGTGCTCTAAAATATCAGGCCATGCTACTAAACTTACCAAGTCCCGGAAGCAGATAAGCCCAACATCGTTCAGGATTGGGAGCGAGCGGCGAGTGACGAAGTAACGGTCCAGATAGTTGAAGAACCGAGAAAGCCATCGGACCATTACTTTGTGGTTGTCCCATCTTTTGACCAGCTCTCTCAACAGAAACTCGTCGTGCTTTTCACGCAATGCTGGCATGACCTGCAAGCAGGAAACAAAGTTAATTTCGTTTTATTTTAAAGGAAACTTGTATCAATTGATACCTGCATATGCTTGCATAACTACCAAAAATGCATGAGAAGCAGCGGCAAGTTTCTCGTGATAGTGGTTTCTCCTAAAAGAAACACTGGTACGCTGGAACAAACTCGCAAAAGCTTTTAGGACACAATCAAAGGGCCCTGATCGCTCACCATTTGGGCGATGTACTCTTCAAACGATTCTCGGTACCGATCATAGAGCTGTTGGGAATAATCATGGGGTGGCTTCTGTGTGCACATGTTGTAGATAGTCCTGCAAAAGGAAGACAAATTGTTTAGGCTTGCAAGCTTGGAAAGCATGGCAGCAATGAGCACCAGAAAGATGACACAAGGATTCTTGTACAAAATTGCCCGCATAAATTCTTCCCAAATATCATTATACCTATGACAGCACCTCTTTACCAAGTACACAGACAGGCTTGGGCAAGGCCAACACAGCTTCTAAACTTCAAATCAAACTTAAGCAATCATGTGCTGAACAACAACTAGATCTTACAAGGAGGCCAGAACTGCCCTCGACGCCTCCCTGATAGCACAAGCATGGTAGCCAGATGAAAAGTTGAACTCACGTGTACAGCATCATGTACTCCTCTGAATTAAACTGCTCCTCCGGGATCCCTTCTAGCAGGTTCTTCAATTTCGTTATTCCCTTCCTCATGAACGCCCATCCCTGCTCCAGCTCAATCACCTTCTTGTCCGCCATGACCGTGGTTCTTGTGGAGCGCACACTCTAGTCAGTTGTGGAACTGCTATCAAACTAAAAAGCTGCAGCAGCTTCTGGGACACATGCCCCAGAGATTGTTTTTCAACCAGAACTGTGCGCGCTCTGCCAAGGAACACAACCGATGAACGCCCGGAAGGCGCCTCTGCCGTTTGCTACCTTTTGTGTCTCTCAAGTCCAAGGAGAGGCAGGCTACAAAGCTGCGACTAGATGACAAAAACAGAGCGGCCGCGTCCAAATACAGTTAGCTAGAGAAGATCCGCAGGCTCCGTTCCTGAGGCTGCGGCCCTCCGTTCTGCCACACAAAGTGCGAGAACTGACTGTCTGAAGCTGTGAAGGGAAGAGGAAGGGAAGAACACCGCTTGTTCTTCGATCATGCACTGATCTGCAGACTTCACCTCGATCTTTGTCGCTGCGACGGCCGTCGCCGCCGCGGCCCAACTAACCATCTGAAATCCGGCATAAAATCTGCCAATCTCAGGGTGCCACGTGTTCCCCTTCCGTCTCTGCCGGTGGCCTTAAAATTCCGCTACGGGGTCTGTCCGATCGGGGTCTGTTCCCGAGTGGGACATTTTGAGGGCAAGAATGTGCGCCTCGCACACGTATGCTGCGTAGGGCCAGTTACGTATGCGCAGTTTTTGGCCATACGTGCACGCATTTTGACCTTCTCGACCAGACTCAGCCTCGACGGCAAGCAAAATAACAGCGGACTGCGGGCCTAT